CCATCTCTCTGCACCCTCCTTTCAGGTAGCTGTAGAGGGCGATGAGGTCTCCCCTCAGCCTCCTCTTCTCCAGACTAAACACCCCCAGTTCCCTCAGCCGCTCCCCGTACGACCTGTGCTCCAGACCCTGCACCAGCTCCGTTGCCCTTCTCTGGACACGCTCGAGTCATTCCATGTCCTTTTTGTAGTGAGGGGCCCAAAACTGAACACAGGAATCGAGGGGCGGCCTCACCAGTGCCGAGTCCAGGGGTCAGATCCCTTCCCTGTCCCTGCTGGCCACGCTATTGCTGACACAAGCCAGGATGCCATTGGCCTTCTTGGCCACCTGGGCACACTGCTGGTTCCTGTTCAGCTGGCTGTCAATCAACCCCCCCCCCAGGTCCCACTCTGACTGGCAGATCTCCAGCCTCTCCTCCCCAAGCCTGTAGCGCTGCTGGGGGTTGTTGTGGCCCAAGGGCAGCCCCCGGCATTTGCCCTTATGGAAACTCCCCCAGTTGGGCTCAGCCCATGGCTCCAGCCTGTCCAGGTCTCTCTGCAGAGCCTCCCTACCCTCGAGCAGATCAACACTCCCACCCAACTGGGTGTCAGCTCCAAACTGACTGAGGGTGCACTCGATCCCCTCGTCTAGATCATCAATAAAGATGTTAAACAGGAGTGGCCCCAAAACCGAGCCCTGGGAGACACCACTCGTGACCGGCCCCCAACTGGATTTAACTCCGTTCACCACAACTCTTTGGGCCCGGCCATCCAGACAGTTTTTTACCCAGCAAAGCGTGTGCCCATCCAAGCCACAAGCAGCCAGTGACATTCACACCAGTAAGGCTTGTCCTGATCTCATGCAGCCACCCTTGCTGTAGTAGTTCACCGTGGTCACCAAAAAGAGTTAGAGACAATATCTGGCAGGAAGGCTACCCCCACGGAAACCTTCCCTGATCATTTGCCCAATCTGCTCTAACAGTCCATGGTGACCTAACAGTCTTCTGTGACTTTTTCCATTTGACCCACGTGTGTGTTGAAGCCTCAAAGTGGGTCCTGGTACACTAGCTGAGGCCTTATTATTTTGAGAACAATGAAATCATTATCTCAGGTGGCCTATATTCAAAACTTCTACTTAGACACCTTCCCCTCTATGTCTATTCTGTGATCCAGTATAACCTCTGACACTGTTTCGCAGAATTGCTGCACAGCCAGAAAGTACTGCAACTATGCAGTAGTTTTTGTTACTTAAGAACTCTTAACTATTTGTCCTGACTGAATTTGTTCCTGTTTCAGGTATTTTTTCCAATTCATAAAAATAATTTCAAGGTTTAATCCCATCTTTGGAAGTGATTAAACTATCTCCAGTTGATATAATCTGCTAATTTAATAGCCATCTTTTATATATTGTGTCATCAGTGGGAATGACTGAATAATACCAAAAGGAAGACAGGTTCCTATGGAATATCAATTGCTGTATTTTTCCAGCTTGATGATGAAAGACAGATAGCATTTTTCTGAACAGTCTAACCAGTTTTGTAGTATTTCATAACACTTCAAATGAGGCAGTTATCTCCTGGTTTGCTTTTAAAATGTCATGTTAAAGCAGCTATTTCCCACTTTTATCCTGAAGCTCATTATATTGCTTTTCAAGAGAATAGTTTCAAAAGTGTGTATTATTATCAAATTTTTATTGGTAGATGTAAACCTAAGTCTATTTTTTTTTTTATTGACTATTTAATTAAGCAATTATCCCTCTTCTGTGAAGCCGGAAGGAAAAAAACATGGAGCATTTCAGTTTTCCCTAGATTTACTATTTGCTCATTCTTTTGTTAAATAATGGACTCAACTTTTTTTCCCCTTTCTAGCATGAGTTTTACTAGACTTCAGCAGTAATAATTTATTTTATGTTTTTCTGTCCTCTTTCACACATAACTGTGCTATCTTTTACATTTATCCACACCAACATATTCTCCTTTTCTATCCTTGCTGATTCTTCTGTTTGAAGAACTGCTAGTCATGATAGCCTCTTAATTATGCTCCCTACTTTCCCACTGCATTGGCATAATTTGTCATTGTGTGTCCTTTTATTACTTCTCAAAGATCATAATAATTTATCATTCTGATTGTTTCAGCCATTTTATAAAGTATGCTGGAGTGAATTTCATCTGTCCCTACTTAGGTGAGAATTTCCAATTTTTCAAAACATGTCTTTTCAGTGAATACCTGCTCTCCTGAACTCTGTTCCTCTCCTTCAAATACATCCCCGGGGGACCACACTTAACCTTTTCGTGTATACAAGTGAGCTGATTTGATAGCTTGCCATCTTTGCCTAAAATTACAAAATTCTATTTTGTAACTAAGATCAAACCAGTTTCTTCTTCCAGATTAGTGAATAATTTCTCACTAGTGAGAATCAAACCTAAAATAGTCGCTCTCAAATTACATCCTCCATGAGTGTCCTTCCTAATTTGTAGGAACATTTGTACAGTTTGCACTGTGCCATAACATTTTCTGCATGCATTACAAAGAAAATATCTGTTCTAAGATGGACACAAGAAGAAGAGAGCTTTTGTCAAGGCCAACAGTTCTCCTTTCAGGACAACTCATCTGTCACCTAATGTTGCATTTTACCTTTCTTAAACATAAATACTCTCTGCTACTCATAGTCATGGCAAATTATCAAGTTTTTGTAGCAGCTAGCATTTCTTGGGAAGGAATAGGATTTCTGTGTTCTATTACTCTTACAAATAAAGCCAGAAGTAAAAATGGCTGTATGTAATATTTTGAAGAAATTCAAGTTCTGACCATTCACTCTCATCTCTAATACTGGGATGACTGAGGCTACTAGGTGAGTCTACATAATGATTCTCATACACATTACAGAATCAAGATGTCAAACATACAGGGAATGTCACAAGTCTGGAAAAAGTCTCCTTTACCCACTAGAATACTTAGTCCACTGATCACACCTATTTATTTCCATTACATATGTTAGAATTTGAAGTCAATACCAAACAGAAGAAAAAACAGCAGTGCAGAATAGAACAGGCTGGTACTTAGGCTGGATAGAAACCCAATTTTGATTAAGAAATACCTATCTTTAAAAGTTCCTTCACTTGTTAAATAAGTTATTCAAATAATTTTGAGACTGATCTTTGGATTAGTGAAAGGTGTCAATGAAATGAGAGCTAATAAATTACTCTGAATAAAAGAAGTTTGTAGTTTTGGCCTTAGAATGGACACCTGTTAAATATATGGGCCACACGGAACCAATACAAAGGTCAGCATAAAGATTTGTGTAACCAAATGAAACAACAGAAATACAATATTAATTCAGTTATTGCTAAAGCACCAACACTGTAAGTATGAAAAATAAATGCAGAAGATGGAAGAACACCACCAGCACTCAGTAGACATAAACATTCTTTATGATGCACTTTCATCAAAATTTATAGTTGCCAGGTATCAAATTTCATTCATGCAACATCAATCCACTAAGAAATACGTATTTTGGTGAGAAAATTAAAGTCCATATTTATGTAAAAACCGCTTTGAAATAAAAATAAAACAAGATTTATTTTTACAAAAAAAGTTCTTTTTTTGTTTTTTGTTTTTTGGGTTTTTTTTACTAACAGAATAATTATCTGGAAAAATTAATTTCCCACATGAGATAGTTAAAGGAAGTTAAATATATTTAAAAATGGAAGATTCTGCATTTACATAGTTATATGCCATTAATATTGAAGATAAGCTTTCTGGCAAAAAACTTCTCATGCTTAAAAAACGCACCTTAGTTTTATACTGTACTTTACAACATACAGTAGTAAGAAACAGAAGTAATAAACAGGTTATATGCAAAGAAAAAAAAGGTACATTACAAGACAGTTACAACTGTGACACAAAGAAATTAAAATGTTTAGTTTTAACAGTATTTGAAGGCAATTCACAATCATTTCAGGAGTTTTGTGAAATTTAAGGCCATTAGTTCTAAATAAAATGTATCTGACACAAACTCACAAAACCATGTTTTTTGTAAAAACTGTACATGCAAAACCATTTTATAATTATATACGAACAGGCATATAATAAAATTTTTGGGCAGATCCGTACACAAAATTGTGCACAAAGCAACATGGTTGTGCAATTTTTAAACCAGTTAATTAACATTATCATTCATGCACCCTTAATGGAAATGTGATTAAATGACAATATTAAACCCAAATATTAAGAGCCAGCATCCCTTTGAATGGGTAATCTAGACAAAAAAAGTTACAATTTTAAATTAGGTTTAAAATGGTCAATTATAAAATATCTGCTGTAATCACTCCAAAAGACTTTTCTGATACAAAATTTCCAGTGCATTAAGGAATGCATGGTATGATTTAATGAGCTCAGTGAGTCAACTATCATACTCTGATAGTTCTGATCTGAGGTAATTTTCTTTAATTACTTATAGCAAGTAACTCTTCTAGTTTGCTTCAGTAACTACTTAAAAAGACTGTAAACTTAGACAAACTTAGAAATTGGAGAATCTCTGAAAAAATACACATACCTCCCCCTCAAAGTTTGGAGTTAGTCATAAGTCATATGCAATTGTGTTATTCACAGTTTAGGAGTTTATTCTCAAACTGTGAGATGAATGGATTACTTAGCACTGATTGAAGCAATTCAGGTATTGGAAAACATGTATTATTTGTCCTTTTCTTAGTTTTCATTTGTATTTGTCTGGACAAACATTCAAAGAGATATTGCTTCTCTCATTATCTTGTGACAAACTATTGCAAGCTAGGAGACGTGAGTCAATGTTCCAAACTTTTATTCTTAAGAATAGTTATAAAAGTACTGAAATTTAAAAATAGTAACATGTAAACATTGATACAGAGTAATAGCATTCCTATACATTTATATACACACAGTATCCAGAGAGGACAATATCTTCTGAGTTGAAATCCCAACTTGTGCTTTCCCCTCCAATAAACATCGTAAGGGGTTTTGTTGTTGGTTTTTTTTTAAAAAAAAAAAAAAAAAGAAAAAAGGGGAGAACATCAACATTTTTCTCCTAGCATTTAAGCTTTCCAGTTGCTCATGCAACCATAGGAGAATTTTGGTATGTGAAGAAAATTTTTCTAGCTCCAAAATGTTATCAGAAGCTACTGCTGCATCCAGAGACTCTTGACTTGTGATAAATGCTAAGCACTTTGGAGCAGTCATATCTGAGTCTGCAACACGTGAATTGGGGGTGTATAGGGTGGTGGTGCAGGTGATGGCTTTATTCCTCTGACTCTCATGTAGGACAGAAACTGCTCTGGGATCTCAGCTAAAACATCTTTAGCAAGTCTTGCCATACTTAAAACGTGGTTTCCACTTCTGTCAATGTAATCTCGGAATGGCACAAACTACAAAACAAGAGAGATGTTCACACAAGTCATTATGCAGAAACAAAATACATCTGCTAATATAAAAATAAGAAAGTTTTATCTAGGGAGTTAGAGTACATGAATATGCTACCTTACATATTTTATATATAAGTATTTTGTATTTTATATTATATATTTAATATATACACATTAATCTCAATTTTCAAAAATCCACCTTCTAGTAGAAAGTGTCATACTTTCACTTGGGTGAAGCTCTTCATGTAAGCCATGGCTAGCTCAGACTGCTAATTATGTGTTTCACTGGTATATTTGGTTTCTCTCTCAACCCTTTTCATACAAGGAGGTAACTGTCTCAGAAAGCTATTCTTCGTTAACATTTCCTGCTCATGGGGCTCTCCTACCAGACTGCCCCTGCTCTGGCAGTTTGTGAATAGAATTTTTACCATCTGAACTGAACAAAACAGAAAGGATGACTTTATATTCTTGACCATTTTGCATTATACCTAGTAGAAATATGAAGCACCTGAACACTTTTTATATGATACTAACAAACGTGTTTTAAAAATCTAAGCAAAAAGGATTGGATTAAAAAAAAAGAGCTTGTTACGTGATACCCAGATCTGCAGATCTAACCTTAAAAAGTTAGCTCTGGCTAGGATTTTGTAATAATTAATTAAATGCTTGTGCTGCTGGTATAGAAAAAAGAAACAACCTAGGCTCCTTGATTTTTATTCACAATAGACAGCATGCAGAGATATAGTGAGTTAAGCTAGCTAATAGGTTATGCCAAAGGGAAGGCTGATTTGAAATTCTGCTTCTTGCTCAGATTCTGGAGCATATCTCAGGGCAACATCTGGGTGAATTTTCAAAATTGGGATTCAATGTCCAAAGCTACTTCTGATACTGATATGCTAGGCAATGCTGTGCTGGAATTCAAAGCCTTATGGTGCCTTTCCCTCTGAACCCCACCCCAAACCAGGAAATATTTAATTGCTAACTGTTGTACTCCAGGATAAAACTAGAACTGACTGAGAAGTCAGACCCACAGATCTCGTATCTTCTGGCTGAACTCTAAAATCTGAAGACTCTTTTGCCCATTATACCAACCAGACAAATTTTGCTTTCTTGGATGCACAGCAACCAAGGCTATAGATTAAATTCCATTTATCTAAAAAGCACTGAAGATTTCAAGATTTAGAGGAACACTGTATTACAGTGAGAGTTTAGCCTACAGTGTATTTCTGAGATCCTGATAGTTTTCCAGGAAAGACAGAAATAACCAAATCTAGTAAATATATGAAACAAATAAAAATCTCTTGGGGAAGAAACCCAACCAAACAATCAGAAAACCAATCAAACCCAAACCCAATGTTTCAGCAATAAAGAATCTGAACTTAATTAAATCATTTTTACAACAACTTTGGAAAGCACTTCACACCCTGGATTTACAAAACACATGTAGGCATCAATCTCCTACTAAAAGGTGTTTAGAATTCAAGTAAGAGATGACTCTTTACATAACTCTCTTGAAAATGGTCTCAAATTGCCATATAAAAGGTTTCAGGATTAGGTATTTGAACTACGTTGAATTAAACTGAAATCTGTCACCAAATTAAGCGTGAACAGCTACTAATTAGGGCATTCCCCAGGAAGCAGTAGATCTGTAGTTTCTTAGCAGATGATGACCTAGTCACAGAACTGTTAAAGCTAGAAGTGATCTCTAGAGATCCTTCAGTCCAACCCTGATGCTCAAGCAGAGCCAGCTACTGCAGGCTGCCATAGTCAGTAAGACTACAAGAGTAGTGAGCAATGAGAGTAGCCTTTATTCCAGATAGGAGCATCCTTTAGCTCTTCACTGTGTTGTGTTCAAGAACATATCAGGCATAAGGGCAGGAGCACAACGGGCAAAAAGGAAACTGATTTTAGGTCATTAAGCCAGGAAGCAAGTATCTGCACTTCCATAATTAGCTGTCTTAACTATTTCAGTGTTTACTCAGTAACTCTGCAATACAAGAGACAAGCACATACTGTGATATTTATTAGTACTGACTCTTACATTTCATAGAAAAAAGCTCTAGCAGTTTTAGAAGCCAGTCCAGCACTGTCCTGTTTCAAGAGGCTGTTCCTTCTTAAACTCTATCAACTTCTCTGTAAGAATACATCTGACTGTCCCCAGAACCATGAAGTCAGAAGAATAACAAAACAAAACAAGCATCTCTGTAGCCTCCTGGTTTACACATTCAGCTGGGAAGGGATAAGCTTAGTGTTGATTTCCCCCTCATGCAGTTATTAATTTTCTAATGTAATATGCAGTCTGAGTTAAAGAACAAAATGTGTCCCATCCCAAGAGATCATCCTACCTGTTAGTCTGCAGACATGTAAACTCAGACCACTGTTCTGCAGCAAAGGGAGGTTATTTCAACAGTATAATTGCTGAAATGCAATTATACAACATAGATGGCCTGAATTAGTTCTCCCTCCCCTCACAGTACATAGATGTTGGAGGAACTGGAGGAACTATGGACAGATAAGCATACATACAGATAGATATACAAGGACAGCTGGCAGTGACAGCAAGGCCTAGGGCTGACATGTAGAAGTAGAGATGGCAGAGGAATAGAATGAAAGATGTAGGAGAAACCAAAGGGAAACTGATGGAATGTAAAGTGCTCTTTCTATAGTTTAAGAGTTTAATTTAAAAGGTTAATATACAAAAATTTCAAGAGAAACAACAGGTACGTTACTATGAGTATTTTCCTAAAACTTCTTAAATAGAAAAAGGATAACAAAGGAGCACAAATGAAATAAACCGAGGAATAATTAGTACAAATGTAATACAGTCCCTAAAATACGTATGTATACCAGCGAGGAGGGAATAACAAAGGTCACATCTTTATATGAATTGCAGTCAGTAGTAAGTATAATAGATACAGTGACTCACTGTTAGAGGAAAATCTTTCCTTTACTAATTTAATTAAAATATTTCACAATACTGACTGTTAAATTATCAGTTAATTTCATTAGCTAATTTTAACTAACCTAATATACCAGAAAGATAAACTTCTTATATTTGAGTAGTTAATTTTATAAAAGCAAATCAGTTTTGTCCTGCCAGATATAAAATAAAGGTCATATTGTACCTAAAGGGTTTGACATTATCCATTTTTATTTATTTAGCTAGCCTATAATGTACTTGTTAGTATTTAGGCAGAAAAGGAACACAAAATAATACTGCCTTCAGGTAATTCAATATGGCTTGGGGAAAAGTTCTGACTGAAATATGTTACTAGTAAATAAATGTTTTATCACATTTCTGATATGCAATTAATTCTATAAAAATACAAAAGGATATTCATTGCATATTATTTTTATTTCTCAGCAGAAATTAGAATATTTCTGATGCAAATAATTTTCACAAATCTTGTTTATAACGTTTGAAGAATTATTCATTTATGCACTTTGAATGTAAAAAGAGCAGCTTTTGGAGCTGCTGTTGTCTGGAGAAATTCTGCATAATATGTTGCAAATTTTTAAATGCATTTAAACATAAGTGCAATGCATGCCAGTGATATCTGAATTAGCTTTAAAATATCTGACAATGCACAGGGATTTGCAGAAATACTAGTTTGGGATCCAGAAGCACTTCCAGATCTGGAGGCAGATCTCCACGTGTTGCTCTGTTGAACAGCACTGAGACATACAGCATAACAGACAGCCCCTTTCTAGCCCAATATGGCCTACCAAGGAACATTATAAGGGCTCTGACAAAATGAAAAACATTATTTCTTGCCTCCTGTTCAGCTGTCCACTTTCTCCTCAACCCTACTTCTATACTTACCTTACTTCTTCCCTACTTCTATAATTACCTTAACACTGACTAAAGCACCCAGCATGTCTTACTTGTCTTAATAGTTTTGATATGTCACTCTACCACCAGCTGTTTTCTCTGTATGTTACAGAAATGAAAAAAGCCTCTTTTTCAATTATTAGAAAAAGTAATTCAGGAATCCATGACCTTCTTTAATGTATATCCATACAGATTATGAGGGCAATTTAGCTACTTTCATCTTATTCTAATTTCTGATCCCCATTTAGGAAAAAAAAGAAAAGAGGAAATTTTAATGTAGTATTTAAGACTGAGAAGAAAGATCTGATCACTTTAATTTCCATATATTTATGAAGACTTGTTTATTTTGTATTCTAAACAAAAATAACTATACAATTAGGTGTCATATACATGTTCTGAACACTTCCTTGGATTGAGATATTGTATCCATCAGCAGTTACCAAATCCTTAAACATTCACATACTGGTATTTGTAACATTAAAAATTCTGAAAAGTTTCAGTTCCTACATATATAAATGAAAAAAAATACACACATTTCAAAGTTAATCAGCTGCAATCTGACCTTAATTATTATTAAAATACTATCACCTGCAATATGAGCTATTCATATAGCTCAGTTATTTTTTTATGTATGTGTATATATATTCTACTAACCAACAATAATATAAAAATCCAACCTGGATTGGAAAGAAATAAGTGAAAATAAGCAAGAGGAAAAATAAGTGAAGACTATGAATTTTGACAAATAGGAGGAATAAAGGGAGAAGAAGGAATGGCAGATATAAAGTAAGGTTTGAACCTAAGGATGCCTGTCAGTGTTTAAGAGGCATTTGGACAATCTCCTTAATAACATGCTTTAAAACTTTTGGTCAGCCCTGAATTGGTCAGGCAGTTGGACTAGATGACTGTTGTAGGTCCTTCCAACTAAAATATTCTATTTCATAAATGTATTCAGATACTTCCAGCAGAAGATGCCTTCCATAAAAGACTTAGTTTAGACAGGTATCATTCTTTCTACGGTAGAAATTTTTCAGTAGTTTGCTGATTTTCAAATGTCAACTTCTTTAATACTTTACTTAAGCAAGCAGGGAATAGTGTGTTGAGCCATCAAACGTCTTTCTCTTTCTTTGGTTCCACTCTAGTGTCCCAAGAAAATAAAAAACGCATAGCTAGTTAATTTTATTTGATTGAGAAAATAACTATGAAACAAATTCTGCGCAGGGTGGGTAGGTAATCAGAAGGCAAGATGGGGTGCCTGGAGCATGGATGAAGTACATAATTTGGACAACCTGTGGAGTTCTAGAAATCTGCATCTCTGAGGGGAGGGGGAATTAAGGTATGTGTGTATGTACATGCAAAACTGCTATACCACCCTGTCAGTAGTTGCATAGATTTGAATGACAACTACTAGGCTGACTGAATGACTAGAGAGAGCAGGAACAGAATCAGAGGACTTTGGCAGTGAAATGGAGGTGTCTGTGGAATACAGATGAGATTAGCACTCTTTTAGGGCTTGATTCAGTCATGTAAACACAGATCATAGAATCGTAGAATGGTTTGGGCTGGAAGGAACCTTTAAAGGTCACCTAGTCCAACCCTCCCTGCGATAAGCTGGGACATCTTCAACTAGATCAGGTTGCTCAGAGTCCCATCCAACCTGACTCTGAATGTTTCTATGGATGGGACATCAATAACTTCTCTGGGCAACCTGTTCCAGCTATAATCTGATGTTCCTTAAATCACGAGACAACTGCATTGTTGTGTGTGGCAGATGCAACATAGGAACTGGGAGACATTCATGGTCTTCTGGATTTGCAGTTAAGAGACAAGGAAAGATACCCTAGGCTTTTCAAATGCACTCATTAGAAGTCTCAGTATTACTGACTTCCACAAAAGTTGCAGTTTTTCGTTATGGAACCACAGTGAGATTGCAGTACAGAGGCAACTAACTCCTCTCCCATGGCTGTATAACCCCAAGACCCTATCAATGTGCTGCCAGTTAGGGGTCATTTCCTAATGAATGCAGATCCACAACTGTGTGTTATATAAAAGCTTATGGGTATCACAGTTTCTGAGCTTGTTATGAACACCCCAAGATAAAGTATGTCAGTGCTAAGGTATTATGAAAGTCAGGAATATAGAAATAAGAGTTCAAAACAAACAGGATCAGCAAAATCTATTAGAGTAAATTTGTTCTCCCACCTGCACAATGTCTCTTTCTGCAAACTTTCCTCTTGAAGAAATCCTCACTACATCACCATCCAGTTCTTCCATAGCTTAAAAAAAGATAAAAAATGAATTAACCTATGAGTTCAGCTACACAACAAAAACAGTCTTACTGAGAAAAAGCTTTGTTCTATTTATACTTTGAGGCAACAAAACCAACAATTGTTATTTAGGTAACTCTTTAAGATCATTTGTGCTACAAAATACATCATGTTTTATTGTTATTTTGCAGACCATTATAAGGTCCTTATCCTTCCAGCTGTCAAACCAGCAAGTATATCTGTTTTGGTAAGGCTACATTTATACTTTCATAGGTGGAGAAGAATTAATCTTCACCAATTATTCTTACAGAAGTTACCACAGGATATAACACAAAGCGGTAATAACTCACATTCATACTGGAAAAGTAATGACTGTTATAATGCATAGGAATGAGGAGTTCTTAAAAAGAAAAATTATTAAATTCATACTATCAGGAGCAAAGTTCAAGCCAAACAAAAGAGCATGTTTCTTCAAAGAAAAAATTAGTAGGTCTGTAGGGCACATTGCCAGATGATGCCGTTGACACAAAAAATGTACATGTGTTCAAACCAAGAGACTCAAAAAGTATTTGAAGGAGAGATCCACTGAAAATTTCCAAAACAGACATAAAGCACATCCCGCTCAGGAAATTCAAATCTAAAACAATATTCAGGGAAGTATCATACTTGGTTATTCTGTTCTTCATGTTCTCTAGATAACCACTCATGGCCATGTCAGATACAAAACACTGAGCAAACCAGACTCTTGATCTGACCTGTTATAGTCATCCTTACTTCCTTAAGTAAAGCTCTGCCCAATGTATGTGCCATCTCTCTGAGATCCAGACTTTTAAGAACCCCTCTGGTAGCCCCCAGGGGCTGGAAGATCTAGGGGGCAGTGATATCTGGAGAGGAGTAGCTTAGTCTCTCTACAGCAGAACTGAGGCTGGACTGGCATTTGAATTATAAGACTGTGTGCCTGGAACATACACCCTCGTACACAAACACTTCTTCAGCATCCACATCTGCTGACGCGGAAGTCCTAGACACAACTCACATCAGACATGGAGTCTGCTGTTTCTTCCAGAAGGAAGTTCTGCAGATGGAAAAGTAATTTCTCTGCCCTCTTGGGCATTGAGGGAATACAGATCTGGCACACATCTAACAGGTGAATTTCACTGAGGCAGGTATACTCAAAGATATGTGGGTCCAAAGATGGTAACTGTACCCTTTAGTACAAACAGAATCCTGCCTTAAAAAAATGATAGGGACGACACCCAAGAACTCTACAAAGAGGACGTCCAGAAGTAAAAAGAAGACAGAATCTATATATCCTGACTGAGTTAAGGGGAACCTGGGCAAACTCAATGACTGGACAAACAGGGAGAAAGGGAAAAGGCAAAGGAGGCGTGAGAGAAGAGTAACATACAACTAAAGTTGAATTCAGGGGTAAAAATGAAGTTTGAAGATTTCCCTTATATGCATTTATGAAGATAAACCCTTTTCTCACTGTTTGTAGCATACAATCATCTGAACTGTATGCATCCACCTGGAAAATCTCTTCAAGGAATAAGATACTTAAAATTATCACTAATATACCACTTGTGAGAAAGCATAAAGAAGTCAACCTCGAATATTTTGTTTGTTTGTTTTCCTCTTGTTTTCATATTCTTTGAATATTTGTACAAGAATTAACATTTAAATCATTAACGATTCCTTACATTATACATCTGTGGTAGTACTAAGTATATTTCATGTACAAAAGAAGGTATACTGTCTAACCAGAAGTATTAGAATTAAAAAAAAAGATGTAGGACTTTGAGGAATAGATACACAAGGAATGTCTCCACTTCATAGTGCAATGATATATACACAATGACACTTAATAATTATCTGCCCAAATAACTAAAGCAGCTTAGTTACTGCAATAGAAAGTGGTGCTCCTGAACATCACATGAAAGAATATGTAAATAATTGTGGTAATTTCTCTCCTGCTGTAATATTCTCTTAATGCTGCTATACAGTAAGGCTCACTCCTGTTATCTAGTGAAACACAATTTAACCCAGATCACCTCCTCAAATACATTTATTTTTCTCAGTATTTTATTACTGCAGTAAGAACAGATGATCAATATTTTCAGTCAACTGACACTTCACAAGGCAACTAAATATCCACGTTGAAGAAATTCAACATTACTTAAGTATACTTACTTTACTGTGGGGTTTTTTTCCACTCATCTTCTGGAGCTCTGTAAATGCTGAGCCCCCATATGGTTCTGTGAATTGAACAGAGAGCCTGAGGGGCTACACAGCTCCACATGGTAGCTTGTAATCATACTGAGTTATCAATCAATCCAGCTGGAAATGTCAACAGTGCTCACTGCATGTTCCACATTATGCTCTTTTAAAGAACAGTATTTGTTTGAAAAGCCACATATTACTAAAATATAAACAAGTATAAAAAATTCTAGGAAAACCACTAGAAAACTTACCATCAAACTCTGCTGGTCCTACTCCCACTATGATTATTGACATTGGAAGCTTTGAAGCCTTCAAAAGAAGAAAAAGAGGTTTAATGCATTACATAACCTCTGCCAATAATATGTGAGATCTGAGGACAATCTGAATAAAAAACACACAGAAGTTATGTTTTAAAGAACAATTTTTTTCCCGCCTAAAAAGTCATGTAAACTGTCTGCTTAAGTAGTAAAAGATATCTTGGATAAAACAGAAAGATAGATGATTATTTTAATATATTTTTTCCTTATAAAGTCTTTGAATCATATAGGAACATAATTAAACACAACAAACTACATTAGGATTTAATACTAATATGACAACTAAGATGACAAATTTATTATCTTAGAAACTTTCGTAAACTGAAAATAATGGCAAACACATACCTTACAGTTTGACATTTATTTAAATGTACTTTGCTGATTCTTGGTTTTACACAGCTGCTTGGAACTATGTGACACTATTTTTTGCATAGATCTTATGAAATTTTTTCTTAAGAAATCATCTATTTAAGCAATCTGTATCTTAGATTTCTTCCATGAATGAAATTCTATTCAAGTCAGTTATCCGTGTCACAAAGTAAACAAGATATTGAACTGAGTTATGGTAAGATTTTAAATTTTACTTTATCTTTTTCTTTCAATGAAACAAGGCAAAGATGGTATCTGGCCTTCCCTGAATAAATTTTCTGTAAAACTGTCAAAATTATGAAGACAGTATCATAAATATTGGATTCTCCTGCCCTGAGAGTAACACCGGATATCTGCTAGTTTACAGAAATTATCTGAAACTGCTTCTTTTGAGGAGGGTAACAACTTGAAAAAAACACCTACCAAACATCAGGGTTGTCAACAGTTTCTTACTGAGATATTCTGATGAACTGTAAAATGTCTATAGTAATTTTAAACAGAAGTATACACTGGCCAAAAATCATAGATGTACACTTTCTGCTAAATTAAACTCTGCTTCACTGAACTCAAGTGGTTTTAGAAGATACTGTTATATTTTTCTTTTGGAATATAAAGTGTTTTTCTCCCTCATTTAAAAGATACTCTCATTTTAGATACATTATCACCATTTCTCATTCTATCTTCTATCTCAACTTTCTTTAAGCAGAAGATTTACAGTTAATTACTGTAAACGTGCTATTTAAAACAATGACAACACACCACTCTATAAATCACTATTTAATGTTCTACACCACTCCACATTATACACTATATACTATACATTGACTGCAAATTCATTACAAAGTGTTACTACATAGTTAATCTTCCAGCTAAAATTTTGTAACAGAGTAAAAAAAAAAAAATTTAATAATCTCTTGTTAGTTAAATACTAATATGCTACTGAAGACAACAGTAAAAGCCATCTGGCCATAGTCCTGGGCAAACAGCTCTACATGGCCCTGCTTAAGCAGAGGGGTTGGACAAGATGATGTCCAGCGGTCCCTTCCAACATCAACCAGCCTGTGATTCAGGGTCATAAATACAGTGTAGCTGTAACTGAATTACAGTGCATTGCGTAAGTCAGTAATAGTGAGAGAGAATGTTTTTGAGACATGAAGGCATTTCTTAGAACACATATTTTACAGGTGTTTTCTAGAATCTTACTGCTTGATAGTAAAGAAAGCATCCTTTAAAGAGATTCCTATTCACACAGACACAGTATTATGTGATACAATGTATATGTAATAGTAAGTGGCAAGGACAGCATAAAGACAGAGTTAAACTTTTGCATATAAACATAAGTGTGGGCATTTCCTAAACGGCAGCATAACCTTTAAGCCGTTTGGTAAAACAGAATGTGTCTGACATATATGCTGTAATGAGAAAGATGCCTAAAAGCACAGTTAGTTTTAAAAACTGAAATATACTCTTTCTGAGTTTTATACCTATCGTATTGCATTGAACATCATTGCTCTTTTTATTATTTTGGATATTACTAAGACTGAATAGTATTTAATTAGTTCTGTCATGTTATACTGTGCTCAGCACTTCAAGAAGTATACAGAAAAATGAATGCATCTTCATAAAAAGAAAAGACAGCAAATATTCTCAAGCTTCCACTCATTCCAAGCTAACAACACATCTGCTGTATTTCCAGACAGTTGCAGACTAACAACTATAATTCCTGGAAATGAACTATTACTGGAAACAAGATTTTTCTCTATGTCTTAGTGGCAAATTACTTAATCTTACAAGATAACAGCCAACTGGACTTGCTGGTCTCTTACAGACTTCGAATTGAGGGGTGAATTAAAGCAAGAGCTGCTCATTTTTCTCCACAGAGCCTTTCTGTCACCTAAAAGAAGCTGTTTCAAAATTCTAGGCTAGACTACAGGATGAAATTCCAAGCTAAAACCTTGTTTAGCTCCTTTAAAAGTGAGACAGTTTATCCTATTTTAAAATTGGAAGATGGAAGAGGAGAGGAAGTACCTTTAAACACAGTTATAGCTTTGGGTGTAAAAACATACCAGGTGGGTGTCCTTATTGACAACAGACTGTCTGTGTGCTGCTGGCTAGAACTTGAGGGCATCTTGCTCTCCAGTGAAAGACAGAAAATGTCAGTAATATTTTCATGTGCACCCTACAAACTGGAACAGTACTGAATCTCTACAGGAGGTAGTGAAAGTGGGCCTTCAAAAATACGCCACCTAATTCTACACTACTCACTTTGACATGATGCTTAATTATCTTAATGTAGCCTTTTCACCCACCACTTCACTATTAACTAGATCCACTGTGGTATGTTCAAAACTATCAGCATAGATCTTTTCACACCCTGACTGGAAGTTGCTTCTCTGTGTACTTTCATCTGACATTTCCCAGGGGCAAAAGCAAAATGGAACCTGTTCATAATACAGAATATTACTTATATGCATAGCAGTTTTGAAGAGAAAAATACTGAAAATAATGCAGAAACTGAAAAAGAATTAAGAATTTTCAAAATTCTAGGGGACCACTGAGAAGGAAATTAGATGACTGGTATGTTTGTCATTTGGGATCAGAAAGTTTGGGGCAGTTTTTTAAAGAAGGTGGGGGGGATCAAAGCTGTCTGCAATTACTAGAAAGAGGAACAGTTCACTATGAAAACCTGTATGGTGGGATGTGCATGAGGAAGGAGGAGGCAAGAGGCAAATGAGGAAAATCATATGAACATACAGTGTTAGAAAGAAGAGTATAATTTCCTACAGAGCACTAATTAAGCTCAGATTCAACTTTTGCTTTCTTTTTGGCTTTATGCATAATAAACTTCTGCTGCTTAGAAAAAATGGTTAATTTACAGAAGAAATATAGTGCCTGAAATATTAACTGATTTACTTTATTGCCTAAAATATGAATTCCTAGAAAGATAATTCTTTTAAATTTCAACAGTTTCAGCAAAACTTACATTCACTATGGATTCTTTTGTCTGAGCCATATCAGAAATAACTCCATCTGTAATAATGAGAAGAACAAAATACTGGGAGCCATCTTTTACTGAAGCAGCATATCTAAGGGAAGAAAAGAGCAACATTATAATAGTAAAAACCTCTTTGTACAAAGGAACTAACATGAAAAGAAGTTACATTTTAGAAATCTGTCTACTCAGGACTAATGAAAGTAAAGAAACATGACGCAATGGATTTCAAAAGTAAAGAAATACATAATTAAGATAGACATTCTACTTTTAAAAGAGAACATTAACATTAGAAAAACATAACTAATACAATACCGATGTTAATAATCTGTGTGTGTTGAATCAGTGAAAAATCAGAACTATATCCCTACCAGGAGGAGCATGTACAGAATGTCCTTTACAGAATCATGAGTCATTAGAAAGTCTAAGTTATTTAACAGTAATTACCTCTGGGGAACATAACTTGGTATGAAGGGTATACATTGAATAGTTGGTTTTATAGCACAAGGAAATTTTATCAGAAATCAGCAGATTGCATAAATATTTCTTTTTTTTTTTTTTTTTTTTTTTTTTTTTTTTTTCTGTTTTACAAGAACAGGTTACTTACTGTTGACCATGCTTGCAGGTCTACAGTTCACATTTATGTGCACATTTGTAAAATGGCTGAACACCCTGCAACCCTGGTTTAGATACTCATCTCTTTGCACCACCTACAGATGTCATTTCAAGACTCAAGCTTGTGCTGTACATGAATGCAAGACAAAATACATCCAGTGCCATTCTAGCTCCTCCTCAGCCAGAGGACCCAAGAAGCAACTGATCTTTGAAAATGACCAGCTTTGAAGATTTGGAAAGTCCTGAAACATAGTGAGCAGCCCCATTGTTCTCTATGGCCTGCATATCAGAAACCAAGACTTCAGTACATTTATCTTCAATTTCCAAGGTCAAAGTATCCTATATTGTTAGAGAAGAACTTTGTTTGTGTGGAGCAGGCTGCTCTACTTGTTGCTTCACTTGACAGCAGCCAGTATAGTTTCTCCTTTCATGAAGGCTCTTGGTGCTGTGAAGGATTCAAATAGTAGAACTACGTAATAAAAGTAGCAATGAGCAGTATGGAGAACAGTACAAAAAAATAAAATTAGTCTTCATATGAATACTGTGGAGTATATGTTCAAGTACAGACAATGTCAAAGAACTCACTATCATAGTGGTCACTGAACATGAAAGGCCTGGGTCACTGAACAGGGTATGTTCTAATGATACTTATGATGATTGCATTTGCTTAGAAAATTCTAACTCTGATGTTAAGCAGTGCATTTTCAAGCAAGTATTCCCAATAAATAAGATGCTATAAACACTACATTTATAAGACTGTGGAGGAATGTGTGTGAAATGGAATCTACAATTTACAGAAAGTCATCACATTCCTCCCTCTTCCTCCCCAAGATACAGATGGGTAGAAAAGCCACACAGACAATGAACCTGCTGAACATCATCTATCTGCATGCTGGCAGTAGGGACTGACAGTTAAATATCTAGATTAGGAAGACCTACTATGGAATACCTTTTCACTACCATGCGGAGACTTCTTATACCTAATTTTTCCACAATGCTTATAATCTTTTCAATGATGACTGCAGTGTCAAGAGATGATGAGAGAGTAAATTAAAAATTCATTATCCTTTCTGAGCCCTTAATACTGACTACATACCTACACTGAAGAAATGGAACAGAAATTTTGTTATTTAAAATTTTCTACAGAATAAAACATTCTGAAATATTTCCCAAGAAAGATCTTATATGCAGAGGGGAGATGACAGAAGACACTATGTTGAATGTGGTGTAGTTTAGACAACTCCCTAGATGGGGAAGGATAATAAACTCATTATCTGCTTAAAGAGTTTCTGAAGAGTTCCGAGACCACAACAGGATAGTAATATCTGACATTGTTTCCAGAGATTTCATCAGAGCAATATTTTTAAGCGGAAGGGATGTGAGAAGAAGAAATTTCTTTGAGACAGAATGTAGGTTCAAAGAGTAACTTCAGGCTAGATCGTAATTTTTAGTACCGTGACTATGAGTCAGTATAATAGCCAAGAAACTGAACCTTGAAGAAAAATGATGTTACTGAGAACTGGACTGGTACATGGATTGTATTAATGATGATCATGCAGTAGAAACCATCATGAAGATACTTAGCTTTTCCACTATAATGTAGTGTGACTTGCTACCAGAAGGAGTTCACACAGTTTGCAACAACTTGATACTTAGACAAAAGTTCAGTGGAAGAACTAGAAATGCTGGTGACAAGCTTCTGTAATTCTGCAAAAGTTGACAGACATTCCTGAGAAACAACTGGTGAAAAAAGGAACACAATTTATGCCAATGCTTTGATGGACTAGATCAAGAATTTAAATCTTTGCAATGAACAGGATGCTTGAGGTTAATTGCCAAATTCTGAACCAGCCAGCTCTGCTGTTATGACCAGTTCCAAAGAAGAAGAAAGAGCCAGAAAAGTCAATGGGTTCGATTTCCAGTTAACATGGCTAATGCAGACACCGAATGCCACATATATGGAATTCAGCTGACAAAGATTGGCATATTTCCTCAGAGTCTGAAAAATGCTACTGGAGAGATCCTGTCAATGGAAGGATTAAAAGGAGACAGCTAGTTGCTAAAGACAAGCAATGGAATATACATGTACATAATTTGTATGGTATGATTCATATGGAACAACTAATCCTAATGACAAATAACTGAAATCAGCTATCTATCCATGCTGGGGTGCACAGAAAATTCTTTGCACCTTAGAATTTGCAAATTATTTTTCATTGGGCTGTAGAACTAACAACAGTATGAACAGATAGTAAATAAATATTTCCTGCTAAAATTAACTATTTTGCAAGCTCATAAATAAGACATTAATAGTACAATGATTTACACATCCCTATTGCTTTGTTTTACAAACATTAGTTCTTTCTCTGTATCTATAAATAAAAGAAAATCTGTTCAGGTAGTTACTCAGCTAAATCATCTGAGCCGTATCACTTCCTATACCAACACAAGGAGATATACTCAAGATATATCAACACAAGGAGATATACTCAAGATATACCAACACAAGGAGATATACTCAAGTCAAGATCTTGTCTGTCAAAACAAGGCAACATTATCCTTCTTAAGAAAATTCTACAAACACAAGGAGGGTTTTACTTTGAGAAGTGAGATGAGGTGTTGCATAACACAGGACCATGACTCCCAACAGTGGCTGCTGCACTACCGCCTTAACAATACCACTACCACTAGCAGCTGGGAATTGTTGCCACAGAGAGGCCTGGAAAATTTTGTTTGACGTTTTGGACATTTTGAAATTAGGGGAACTACATATGCCTAAAACCGCTGCATTTTATAAATTTTTATATAGATTTATGTCTTTTCTGTGAAGCAAAAATTTTGTGCTCCAAAGGACAAAAAAGGAAGATGGCAGAGTGATCTCACAAAAATTTTCTTTCACTATGATTTCTCTTAAAATTTTAACACAGCGTGAATCAAATGGATCAGTTCTATTTATTTTTAATCAGCAATGAAATTCTGCATAATACTAGCACATGGTCTTTGATGCTACTCAAAGGCACATGTTAATCACATTAGACTGAATAAACAAAACAACTGTAAATAACTTGCTCAATGTTTAGCATCAGGTAGCCTTTTATATGTGATAGCTGTACTGACAATAAGAGAACTCTGTGAAGAACCTGTTGTGATGCTTACCTGGCTACATGATTAATTACAGGAGCAAAGTTTGTTGGTCCATAAAGCTGTACAGATTTTAGACTCCTGTAATATGCCTCCATTACACCATCAATTCCATGGCAGTATGGATTTTGAGGGTTTCCATTCTAATGAAAATAAGAGATAATTAATCACTAAAGTAATTATGAAGCAAAAATGATACAGCTTAGAGAATACCACCCAGTGTACATTTTTAAATGGCAAAGACCTAAGCATTCTAGGATCTATTCAGAGAGTTTACTACAAATGCCCAATATAAATGCCACAACTGGTTGAGAGTGTTAACTGCCTAGGGAAGGAGGTTCTAGCAGCCTCATGTTATATGCAGTCTGAATCACTGGAACTGGTTCCTAGACATAAATACCCTCTTAAGTGGAATTACAGAGTCTTTCTTATATACAACAGTAACAGACAATTCCCTGTGTGAATTTAAGGTATGAATTACAGGGAAGATGTAAAAATGGAACCATGTTTAGGAGCACAGTTCTGCCTCTGTGATTTCTTATTTTCAAAATGTGAAAAAAAAGAAATGGTAGCCAGAGCCTGATGCTCATACACTATGTGAGTATAAGGTAAACTATAAATTCTTCATTGTTTTGGTAAAGTGTCTCTGCATTGGAAAACTGATTTTTGACCTGGTATAATGAAGATGAAGAAAGGAACTTGTTCTTTGGGAATCCAATGAAATGGCTGGGATTGTAAATTCTTTGGGTAGGCATTTTACTACCTGTCTCCGTAATGACTCTATAACAAGGATACCTACTTACAGATGACAATACTAACATATAAACTAAATCCCAGATAGATGACAGTGTCAGGCCAAACAAATGATCCATGTAAGGCTTCAAAACCTTCCAAATCATATTACTGTCCTTCATGTCTCAACACCTCATTGGCTTAATGTGTCAGTATCTCATTCTGAGGTAGAGTCTCCCTGAGAATCTAGAAAAGCAAAGGGGATTTTTCATGGAACTGGCCTAGAACTCTAGAAGAGAGTGCTGAAAACACTGCTTAGCATTAAATGGGAGACATCTATATATGTTTATACATGGAGAAAGCAAAGAAGACTGTTTTTTCCTCTGTAAAAGCACCACAATGCCTCACGAATTAACTGAATTAATTTTATAAACAACTTTCAAATCTGAAAGTTGCCACGAATAAGTTTGCTGGTTTAATAGCCTTAAAATTGTATGTACCGATATATTTGAACTTGCTACATGAAAGTACAAAGAGAGTCTGTGATTCAAATTAATATCAGCAATTGCACATGTTTTGAATTTCTAGTCAAAATGTGGCACTATATTCTAGCACAGGCTGACAGAAGAAACACACATCTACAATCACAGTCTTCTGCCATGCCTTTACTGCTAACTAAAACTCACCTGATATACCAACACTTGCTCTATTTCTGATAAATTTATCCTACTCAGAGAAGAACAAAAAACTCAAGCAAGTAGATAAACATCCACATAATCACAACCATCAGTTATAACATATCAGCCTTTCTGGAAAATCCTATTAGATTTTAGGTTTGTAATTTAACTAGCATATGGACCAGACTCAGATTTGGTTTTGTCACCTCAGCTTATAGTCCATTTAGTTATCTCTATGTCTCTAAACTAGAAGCCTGTAAAAGATAAAGAGATCCCAGAAAATGAGAGAGAACAATAACAAAAGTAATAATGAATTATTATCTTGGATCATGACTCACTTGCCTCTTAAAATAGATTAGCTTCAATCTGAAGTCTTTCAAGCATCTGTTTTTCATGCTGCTACAGCCAAGGTTAAAGATGATTACTTTATTAACTTTTTTTGGCCTACAGGGACTTCTTGACTCTGGAATTCTCTAACTTGACCAATGAAAAAATTTGAAACAGTCTTTTTGACAGAAGAATTAGCACATACTCTGTTCTTTACTTGTCCAGTAATTGCCCACACTTTTGTTGTAGTAAAAAAATTAAAACAATATATAAATATTTATTTACTTACCAGTGCAAATTCATGTGATACTCTTCCATCTGGAGGCAGTCTAGCTCCAAAACCTAGAGCTGGGAACATTTTATCACTATCATAGTCCTGAATTATTTCACCTACTGCTTTCAGTGCCATGCCATAAGCATTCAGCTGATAGGGATTCATGTAGTGCAGTGAAGTAGGCTGTGAAGGGTTTCCTGTTGAAGCAAGGATCAGATTTACTTTAAAACTGAATCACTTCAAAATTTTCTCTCTTAAAAATGATAGAAATCTAAGAAAGCAGAATTTGAAAAGAAAAGATCATGAAAAGAAAATGAACTTATTTCCTATATACATAACCATGGTTGTTGTATCTGGTAAAAATGCAATGTTCTGGATACATTTTTAGTAGTTTAACAGTAGTAGCTGTAAACTTTTTCAGCATTGAAAGGGTAGCAAGAAACTGTGATGAGACTTGTAAATTTGTGTGATTTTATAATATGATATACATTTTTTAGATGAAATTTACAAAAGTATTATGACATTCTGAAAGCAGCTTTGGAGGAGGATCAAAACTTATCTCTGTTTTGCCCCACTTCAGCCTCACTCCACCTGAAACTCCTTTCTTTTGCCCCTCTCAGCGGGGTCTTCTAAGTTAGCCAGTTTTCTCCCAGCAATAATAAAGAAACAAACAAACAACGAAATAATCAGAAAGTATACAAATATTTGCAAACTGCTCCTACTTATTCAATTTTATATGTAGCTTTTCCAATTTTTATCTGTTCTGTAATCCCTGCTTTTCTGGACAGGAATAGGCCTCTAAGCTGTTGCTCAGAAATCCCAGGTCCCGGTGGTGCCAGGCATACAGATAATCAATAATACAATGAAGTTAAGCAGAATACTGATATACACATGTACACTTAAAGATGAACACAGCACATACATACAAAATATGTTTATTTTTATTCTTACCATTTGAGGCTGTGAAATCAATAGCTACTGTGAAATTGATTTGGGTTCTGTAGAAAAAGCAAATACAAACACTATTAATAGTTTTATTGTTATGTGGAAAAATAAACAAGAGATGTTTGTGGACAAACTGCAGGACACTGACTTCCTAATATAGCAAATAAACACTGAAAACATTCTTTTATTATCTTCCAGCCAAGAGCTACACAACACTATTTTATTAACACACTGAAAAGTTACTTTACTCCATCCTTCCTTTTTTTCATTCTTTATGAAAAATCCGAAATCATTAATAAGGTTATAAACATCCATAAACATTATCAATTAATTTTCAACAATAACACTGACCTTTCCCTTGGACATAGTTTAGCCCTAGTCATGGAAGACTTTAACAAGGGAAGTGGGCTTTTACTAATCTGCTCCTTTTCTTAACACTAAAATTGTGTTTTCAATCAGAACATGTTTAAAATCATGTTATGCATAAAATCTTTAAACAAGATATCATAGTTTTTGACAGTGGATTTCTTTCTTGTGAACATAGTCAATACTTTGAGTGAGCATAGCAAGGTAATTCTTGGAAGACAAAAGTAAAATCTGGAGGCAGGAATATAAAGATCTGTTTTTGCAGCAGTAGCTAAACAAAGCCATTATTGTGCATGGATCAGTTGTTAACATAAACTTACTGTCGGAAAAATGAATCATTAATAGACTTTTACAGAGTGACAATCCAATTAAACGCAGTTCTGTTCTACAACTTCCTTCAGGACAAAATACTGTCATTTTGGAGATAATTTCTTAGCTAGTAAGGCTCTACCAGGAAAAAGAGTTGATATGAATCTGAAAATTGACTTTTTGCTCAGATTGAGTCTTTTATATCTTCCTTTAAATTTCTGCCTCTCAGTGTGTGCTATTATGAACTTAATGATGAAATCAGCAAAGATTAAAGCTCTTTGAAAGTTACTGAATAGATTTAACTCATGCACTTTTAGATTAAACATCAACAGTCTGACATCTGGCCTTGCAGTAGTAGTTCTACTGCTCAAATAGCCTGACACACCTAGAAAAAAAATACTATTTATTTCATTAAAATCTAGGTATGAAAAAAAAATCACATGGAATCATTTGATTATACTGATCAAGGCTAACACAAACTAAGACACGTTACAGGTGGAGTCTGTCTCCAGAAAGTGGTAAAAATTTGCCTACCAATGCCCACAGTATCAAGAGTAGCCTGAATACGTCTAAAAACACTGTGGCCTCAATGAGGACTTCAACAAAGGAAAAACAGTGAAAGCTGCTGCAATCTCTGGAAAGTTCAGAGACCTAGCTTTATAAGAAAAATTTTCTGCCACTACTTCTGCATTCTGCTTTATGCAGTTTCACCAAAAAATTTTTAATGGCATGACAAGTCAGATTTTGTTTGATCTGCACCCAAATATCAGGCCCTGTGGCTTCTTAACCACAGTGTTCTTCTGCACCGTCTGTTAGTCGTAAGAATAAAGAACCTAAGAAATGCATGTTAACTAGTCTTCTACCACCATCACTATAGTGTGCAGAAAAGTTGTCTTTCTCAGATAAGAACAGGTTAGGAAAAACAACAACAAAAGAGTCATACATTACCATTCCTAGATTTATTCTTAGAGTCCTTATTGGCACTGCTAAGCAAAACTGCTTTGGGACTATAATCTGCCTGACCTTAAATTTTAAGGGCATTGGTGTGATGTAATATTTGAAGAGTAAAACAAGACTCCTCCAAGCATTATATACCAGGTACATCAAGTACAGAAAACCTTCAGAGTCCTGATGAATGTGTCACTGAGAAAAAAAAACAAACCCAAACTCAAACAACTTTTCCTCTGCATAAGAACAGCAACACTTATTTGTAAACTCATTTCCTGGATCAGCTATTCTGATCCAATTGGTAAGAAGAAATAGAGATTCATGGATTCTGAATTCAAGACAAAACCAAGAAAAAGCACAGTAAAGGAAGATTAGAAAGGAAAACGGCTAACAAAAAGAAAAATTATTAAAACCACATGTAATGGCAAAAAGAACAAAGTCAGTGTTCATTAATTACAGGTAATGACTGACAGGGTTAGTTTCTGGAGTATTCCTCCAAGTGCTGTGTCTGTATTAAATGTATACTGCTCCAGATAACAGAAACCCATCGGGTAAGCTAGAAAAACTCCCCCTCTCATTTACAATGTACTGTAGTCTGGACTATGATTTTTGTCCAAGTAGAAAAGTATGCACATTACAGTATCTGCCAATTTGACAACTATAAAAATCATGATATAAAATAAGATCAAGACAGATGTCTACTTCTCTAGATTTGTTTCCATCTGTATGTACATTTCGATGATACCGCTATTGAAAAACATGAGAGAACTTAAACCAGTTACTTGATTTCTACAATTTATAGATGACTGTACATTGAGTTTCCTGAATATAGGTTCCTAATGTTATTTTAGATCCCCCAGGCTACTTACTACACCATGGACATTTTGGGAAGTCTAAAATGGTATTAAATGCCTATGCAGTTCAGGAAACTGGATCCCACTCATAATGCAACTGTCACTTTGTATTATGGACTCATGACAACAGAGAATGTCATTCATGTCTTACAGAGAACAAAGAAAGCTAGAACAAACTCTGTTAGGGCAAACCTGCACTGTGATTGCCCTAATTTTTCAATGACCATTTTGTTTCATATATCATACGACATATGTATGGAGACAAGGAGGCTCAGGGGAGACTTTCTCTCTCTCTACAACTACCTGAAAGGAGATTGTAGCAAGGTGGGTGTCAGTCTCTTCTCCCACGTAACAGCGATAGGATGAGAGGAAATAGCCTCAAGTTGTGCCAGGGGTGGTTTAGATTGGATATTAGGAAAAATTTCTTCACTAAAAGGGTTGTGAAGCATTGGAACAGGTTGCTCAGGGAAGTGGTTGAGTGCTCAGGGAAGTGGTTGAGTCCCCATGCCTGGAGGTGTTTAAGAGTCAGGTCACCATAGAGGTGAGGGATATGGTGTAGTTGGGAACTGTCAGTGTTAGGCTAACCATTGGACTAGATCATCTTCAAGGTCTTTTCCAGCCTAGATGACTCTGTGATTCTGTGAAAAGCTAGATTCTGTCAGAAACACTGACACCTGGCTAGGCAGACTGAACTGCTGACTGTACTGTCCAAAGGAGAACTCAGGTAGAATATCTAAGCACAGCAATGTGCCTTATGGATTCAGAGCTGGATAGATCACCACTTCTCTGCCAGAATTTCATTGGCATAGAAAGACATGATCTCTTTGATACCTGGACAGGTGATTTTACCTTATGCTACCACAAGAAATGAAGAAAGTATCTTAAGAGGAACAGTAATCTTCAACTCACTACTACAGAGCAGCCATTTTCTTTGGGGGGGCAAGGTGAAACCTACTGCATTTTAGTAACAGCTCTATCAGCACTGATATACGTAAAAGAACAAAGTAAACACAAGTCTAGCTTTTGACTAGGCTTGATAACATTTGTAATGATTAGGGTTTTTTAAACAGTACATTGGAAGGAAACATGAATTTCCTTCTCTGGCTTTGGAAAGACAACCAGCTGGTCTGTCAGCAGGGGGAAGCTGTTGAAGGCTTGAGGACCACTTACTGTGCAGAACTCTGAAATGAGCTAATCGAGTAACTAACAGTACCAAGAGGCTGTACCCTCTCCATGGCATTAAGTCTCCAGTGACAGTTATTTTACAATTTCCCCTTTGAAGATGCTTGTTAGGCCAAATGCTGTATCAACATAAAGAAGATTTTTCTGATAAAGGCTCTACAAGATCTTCCTCTTATACAGTCTTATTACCTCTTTTTATTCTCCAAGAACACAAGAACTATATGGTTAAGTCTCCAAAATATCTAGCTGTGGCAGCCCTTGCTTCGAAACTGTATCTCACACCAGGTCTCCTCCAAACATCAAATATGCATGCCATTACATTAATTGGTGTACTGGTTGGATGAAAATAGCTGTCATGAAAGGAGTTCTAAATTTTCATTTTGACCATCAATGATTCAATAGAGTTCCCAATGCCCTTAGAATCCAAACAATGTGTGGGGGTTAATTTCCAAAATCCTGGATGAAGGGAAGGCTTTTAACATGATGGAAGTAAAGCATTTCCTCTTATCTTCCTGGTACAGAAGAGATGACTTAATATTTTTGAGTTACAAAAGGATTCAGCTCCTGAATTTTATTGATTTCTAAATACCTAGAATAACTTATTAGAATAAGGACTGAGCTAACAAGTCAAACAGGTTAGAAACTTCTGCACAGAAATATCCTCTCTGTTCACTAAGTCTTGCAGCTTTTTGGCTCCTGGTCTCTCTTCCAGACAAAAACAGATCAGATTATAAACTAATTGTTTGACAGTCACTGCTGTAAACCAGGATAATTTCTATTGCATGTCTCTTCAAGGCCATATCCCTTACATTCCTGAGCTTATTCATATATTTGGAGGTGTTTTGATAGGAATATATTATAAATTGGCAAGTGGCAGGAGATATCTGATTCTGAAATATAGATTATTTTTTAGCACAATGTACTTATTTTAAATGTAGGAAGGTCAGCGTAGCAAAATACGTGATTAAATTTCAAGACGTATGGAGAAGCCAGCTACTAAAATGGCAGCACTTCATGTAATATTCAGATGCAAAAGAGACATCCAACTCTTTACCGCCATACTGCTAAAAAATTCCGTATTATGTAGTAAAATAATTAAAATTTACAGACAATCTTCTATTTCATTCTTCAAAGCTCTTTAAAAAGACAAGTCATACTCATGATACTTATAAGGCAATATGCCAATTAAACAGGTGTAGACTCAAAACATAAACAAAATCAATACTGTAATCCCAATTTGTCGCAGTTAAAGCTGTCAAGATTTCCATTAAATTGGTATTAGTTCTAGACACCTCAAATCAATTACAATGAAAGTTCTGACATTTATGGAAGAGACAATTATTGTGCCTATTGCAGAATCACTGTTTTCTTCCCCTTGCCTAACTACACAGAAGAAAAGCAGGGAACCAAAAAAAAATATTTTGGAGGACATACTTGATGGGAAAACAGACTGATTAATGACAAAATCCTCTGTTCCCCCTTCCTTCAAAATCTGTCAGCTGGACTGCAACTGTTACATAGTTTTAAATGAGATGAAAAAAAGGAAGAGAGAAGCCAAGAAAATGACTCTGATTCTCAGCCTCCCGGTCATGTTTTTACAGAACCATATAGGCTGCAAAAAGAAAAGTAGTTCTACAGTTTTCACTGGCATGTACATAGAAATAACTCTATGAATCACTAAACAAGACTCTACATAAAATAATTAAATGATAAATATTACTGCTTATACTTTAAAGCACAAAGCATTCTACTGAATTATATATACTGTATATAAAAGAGAGGGAAAAGCTTAAGCAGTAATTATTAATATCACAAAGTTTCTTTGATTTGCAGTTACAGAGATATATACAAAATTTCAACAAGAAAAACAAAGTATTATTTGTATTCAAAATTTCTATTATTTGTCTACAGAATGTAGATAATTAGGTTTATTAACTTGCATTGTAACCTGTCAGTGAGAAATGCAATAAACTACCCTAAAAAGATTACATATGCACCACTATATTCTTTCATTTCCATATTTAGGCATAAAACTTAATTCCTTAGTTCCTTATATACACTCTTGCACAGACAAATTTTGAATGAACGGGGAATAAGATGATTGTGGCATATATGTACAACACACTTCAAAGAACAGACTAAATAAAACTGCTTTTTCATGTATACATATACTTTGTTCAATACACACTTTTGGCAAATGTGAATGGATGGCCATTTTCTATTTCTGTTAAAGTCCACAACAGGAATGTTTCTGAGAAAGGCAACCACAGTCCTAATAAAAGTAATCTGTTTCTCTCAAACTCTAGGATTCTCTACTAAAAACAGAACGCTTACAGAAATCAGAAGGGCTCCACAACAGATTGACCATAATTGTTCATTCAGAAATCACATCCAGAAATCAATCCGGAAATCACAAGTGTCTGTTACGGTGATTCAAAGCAGGCGCACAAAGAAGCCATACAGATCATTGGAAATTACTCAGAAACATAAAAATAACTGGTTTCCTAACCATGGCAATCTAGGTGTCTCAGGAACACCTTGTCAAGAAAATGTGCTGATAGAATTCTTTATAGCATATAGAGTCAACAAATTCTTCACATTTTAAAGATGCAGTAGTACCCTGACAGCATACCTGACCTATATCAGGAAGTTTTACCTTTGCTAAACTGTAACAGATTCTAAAGTAGTCAAGAACTGAATTAAATACTCTCTGAGGAGAAACTGTAGGATCCAAAGAGTGCAGAGACAAGTACTCCCACAGTGGTGCTTCCAGTTAACTGAACTGGAGGTAAGGACAGCAGTTCTAGAAGAGCTGGATAGTTTGTAGTCCAGAAGCATCCTGTAACAAAGTGTAGGAGTCCCAAGTGCACTAAAAAGCCTTTTAATATCCCTAAATGGACTGATCTCAGCCCTCTACCACAAGTCCCCCCACTGGCTCAGGAGCTCCATTTCAGCTCAGCCTTCAGTCCCTGCCTGAGCTAAATCAGAGGAGTACATGTCTCCAGCTCAGCCAAGCCCATGTCTTGCCATGGACTCCAATAACTCAGATCTTGACCCATGGACTGACTTCCTTGCTTTTAACTCCCTGCCTTGTCTACCAAGCAGTCGCTGGACCTGATCCTGACCTGACTCGGTGGTTTGCTTTCCCAGCCTGACCTTGTTCTGTCTCATCACCACAAACTTCCCTGATGATCTGGACTCTTAGTTGGGCCTGGCCACCACCTCTGGGCTTGCTCTGCTTGCCTTGCCCATGTACTGTACAAGCGGGCCCTGGCTGGTGAGACCCTGCCCATGCTACCCAGCTCCGCTCCCAGCTCCCCAGCCATTCTGGGGAGGAATGGCTGCTCCCTGACACAGTCCCTTCCCTCCATTAATGTGTCCCACTACTTACACACCTCAATGATGGGCCTATACAACTGTTTCTGAAGGTCACCCATAATCCATTGTGTATGCCATGCAACACTGCAATATCAAACAATAAAATCTGAAATTTTGCAGAGGCTCTGTATCCCATCCGAATGAAAAAATATGTTCAGCCACCAAAGAGCGAGCAAATGAGCAAGTCAAATCACAAATTTCTCCAAAGATACTGAATAAGAATTTTAAAGAGAATATGTCTACATCTATGTTAAAAACACTGATTAAGCATTCCCATTTTTACATACTATGCATAAAATATTCTTGTCAGGTTTAATCTTAATGAGCAAAAAGACACAGTGTTTTGAGATACATAATAAACTGAATTCACCCTTAGCAAAAATATTTATTTTCTTGGATGGAGACCAAACAGTAGTGAATTTGGATTTTCTAACTTTAAAATTTAACTGTTTGGGAGAACCGAAACTTCAAAGAGGCTGTTAGTCCTTGAGAGAGAAAAAGATTACACTCCGCAGCAGCCCATGGGTGAGGGTCAACAGTTTGAAGTACTTCTTAACAATGATCCATTCCCTTACAAGTTACCAGTTCAGTATGGAGTACAACCTCAGGCTGTGGTTTTCCAAAACCTTAAATGCAATGGCAGTCAAGATAGCTTACTGACTGTTTCTCTGTAGCTAACAATTATGACTGGGAGTGTCACTTTAACTTAATGAACTTAGTGATGAATGTGTTAGAAATAAACCTTAAGCACATTCTCATCTGTAGGATTACCACTGTTTGGAACAAAGGCAAAGCCCTACCGCTACTGACAAAACACAACACAGACTTCTTTGTTATTTTAGCTGAAGCTTGGTTAAAGACTGGCACAAAAAAAGTAACTTGTTTCTTTACAGGTAATCAATGCTCTAAAATAATTGTGGAATGTATACTGAGACTATATGCCTCAAAAATCCATGTTAAGTGCCTATGTATAACATTACTTCCATTTATCTTAGAGAAGAATTGTGTTCTGGTAGGGAGGTTAAGAGCTAGGAATTTCTGAGATTTTATCTCATTTCCAGGCATGTTCTAAGGTAAGCCATTTGATGCTTCTGTCTCTACCTCCCTTTTGAGAAAATGATGATAAATGAGAAACTGAACATGTTATAAATTTTACATAACTAGTATTGAAAAAATGCGTTTGAAGCAGAAAGAGTCTAAATAAATACCAATATTAAATACACCAAAGGCCAGTGTACTCAGAAGAAATAAAACAGCATTTTACTAATTTAACAGTATATGGATAATGCCCTTTAGGTTAATCCCATTTTCACTGGTTGATGAGAGGTCATTACTCAACGCTAGTGTTTTAGTACCAACACCTATTTCAACATTATAAGTAAAGTTCCATAACTTAACATGTCAATAACTATCTGCAGGTTTTATGTAGTACAGACTCTAAAATGAAGAAACAATACAGTTCTTTACAGATACTACTTAGAGTCATCATACGCAAAGTACATAAACAAATTATTAGTGAATTACAATGAGACTGTGAAAACAAGAAAGTTCTGTTGCCAGTCACATACCCGCCTTTAATATAGTCAAGGAATGAAACTTCTGTTTCAATTAGGAAGGAAAGCAATGTTACCTGAAAGCAAATAAAAGAAAGAGTCAGACAAGAATTGTCATTTCCCAGTTGAATAAGTAGAGACATAAGCAAAGTGTTTTTGGAGCTCTATCCTTAAGTTGTAATTTCCTACAGTATTAGGGAAAAAAGATTAAAAAAAATTTATGAAACCATTTCAATAGGCAGTTCTTGAAAAACAAGAGACAGATTTGGAAGTCTACTCCAATTGCTTTTTTTTAAAGCAAAATGTAAGGGATGAAAGACAGGGCAGGTTACCACATGCATGTCTTCTGATCACTTTGCACTACATCTACACGCAAATATTAGAGGTTAGATGATAATGTATTCTATGAGTACTTCAACATTGTTTAAAGAACTCAGTTACAATTATTTATGTCATTTCTCGTCTCACATTAAAAGTGGTATTGGGTATTCTTGCAACACAAGAATGCAGAAAACTAGTAAATTATACATATATATGAAATATATAAAAAATGTAAAGTAAAAAATATGAAAAATGCAAAGGTAAGAAATGTCTTCATTCCCAGCTTTTATTCAGAAATGGTATAGGTTGAAAACACAGACAGTGGTCTAAAGGTGCTACTGGCATTTCCAGTACTCAAGTCACAGAACTATAAAATCAAGTAGAAAAGATCCAACATTTAAGATCATCATATACTGCACATTTATGAAGTAAAGAATTAAATCCAAATTATTTTTGTTTTATTTATAAAGTTACATAAAAGTCTCTCACAAAAGTCAGTGAAAACTGCTAAAGTAACTACTCAAAGCAAATTAATTGATCATGATACAAGGAAAAAGAAGGTGCTGGAAGTTTGTCACAAAATTTGATTTGCCTCCAACTGCAACAAAATATGGAAAATTAAAACGTTCCTATGTTGTAAAAGTGAACTCAGAATGAGATTACGGGCATTAATTGTCTTCTGTCCTACTTCCTTTGTCACAGGTTCTCTGTGATTCTTAGTGACTTACAAAGTTTAAAAACATCAAATTACCCTTCTAGTTGATCATAGAAGACCATATCAAAGTTCTACCAGACTATCGATAGCATACTCTTGCATATAAGACTGAAATTATTATGCATTTTTCCACTGGACACAGTCATTTTAATGGTTTGTCTGTCATTACAGCTAGTCATCTTGTTCCTAATTAGTTTAAGCAAATGTTTTTAGTGGATCTCATTTTAAAATGTAAAAAATGGAAACAGACAACACCTTTCTGAAGTCTTTACTTCCATATAGACAATAACTACCAATGTTGCAAGTTTTATTGAGTGAATTTTAAATTTCACTACTTTGATTTGTTGAAAAGTAATCATGTATTCAGAAACAGTTCTCCCTAGTACACAATTTGTCTGTCTGAATTTCAGATGACCCCTTAAGTAATAATGAATTGAGATGGTTACTGTATGTACATGGTCCTTAAAAGCAGCGGTGAGACAGCAGTCAGTGATCTATATCTACTTTACTTAAAGTTTTCCAGAAACAAATTTTCTATTAGTGAGAAAGATGTTCTTGATGCCTGGCTTGAAAATTTAGAAATCTGTGGGATAAAGAGGCAAGGGTAAATGGGGGCAAAAAGACCTTGATAAAGAAAAGAATTTACAAAACCAACAGTAGAGAACACTGTCAGAGTAGGAAAGATGAAAGAAAATTGGTAACAACTGTTTATTGGAAATTTCCATGTAATTTGAGACAAAGGATAACAAGACACAGTTGATTTTGTCTGTCCAAACATGAGCAAAATATATTGTTTCAGATACAGACAGATAAGCATGGTGCTAAAATCTTTAAAACCAAAATCAACAGGAAAATTGAACATGTAAATACATTTTTTTTCTCTTCTGTACCCTAAGCCAGATTTCATAGCTACAGTTTTGCGTATACTTAGTTTTAGTATTGATTTAAAATACAGTTTTCTTAAGTTTCTGACTCACTAATTTAGTGTAATAGAACTTTTTTTTAAACATGTCAAATTGTAGTAAAAGGAATATGTTCACAAAGAATAAATTATCTAACGAATCAGTCTTTGTATGATAAATTTGCATGGACAAGCTCCTTCTGCCTATTTTGTACAATTTAAAGCAGTAGCACAAAATAAGTGTTTGTTTTCCTACTGGTGCACAGACTTCTACAAGAATGTGTGAATGATGAAACATTCCCTCAAGGCTACATTTCAGCGTAAAAGTAACCTTACTGACTTCAGTGGAACTGTTAATGTGGAAAAAAAAAAAACCCAAACCACATGCTGAATGTGTGTTCAAAAAAACTTATGTCTGATTACGTTTTCCAATATACAATTCTTCAACATTTATCTTAATTTTTCTGTAAATGATGTTTTGAACATCATGGATGCCAGAACACAGAAGCTGAGAAAGTGCTGAAGGGAATTACTTCCATTGTTAGCAAATGGTTCATAAAACAGAAAATGGAATATGAACAAAAGAACATTAAACTCTCATCCCAAACTATACTAACAGATCTTTCAACATAAATTTACAAAAGCCTATTGGTAATAAAAAATGTTAACTCTTTTTGGTTTAGCCATGATAAGCATACTAGCTTTTACTGAGGCTAGGCCAGCAGTTAAATTTAAAAGGAAAATTGACTTTTTAAAGTGCAGATGTGTTTCAGATAAAAATTAATAATTTCAAGAGTTTGAAATTTTGGTGAAACTCATTTTGGAAATCATTGGCAATTTAACAGCACATTTGGGACACAGCTTTTATCAGACTCTTTAAACTAAAAAAATCTGAAAACAAATGCTGTATTAACAGTAAACAGTTTATTGTTGTAGCCTTCAGAGAAGGTTCTACTCTAATCCTATTAAATCGCAAGTCAGCTACACTCTGTTTCAAGAGAAAAGCATCCAGTAACATAAAATATATTTACTTACTGTTCCAGAATTAACATACTTTTTCTTTTTTCCTTTTTTCTTCGGATTTATTACCTAGAAACACAGATACAAATATTAAAGCAGTATGATTTACGATTTAACATAAAGGTATGTGCAGAAATGTAAATGCATGTTTCAGTATAGAAAGTAGGCTATTTGCGTGGATTCTAAATTTATTCAGCATACTGTTTACTTATGCACCTCAATGCTGGGATATATGCATATTTGAAAACTGGTGAATTTATCTTCACGGTACCTGCTGGGTTAACCATTGCTGTTATTCGCATTTGACATATAGGGGACCAAGGTAACAGAGGTGAGAGTGTTCATTAAATCTGAGTACTCAGTGAAACACTTTGAATTCTCACAAGATTCTGCATTTTTCTGCATTCCTGAATTGAGTGTTTCAGTGCACCATGTCACTCCTCCTCCACCTCACAATGCATCTCTTCACATTCCAGTTAATCTGTTTCCATCTTCTCCTCAGTATTATCTGAGAAACATGAGTTGTTCTAGTTTCTGTATTTGGTGCAATGACTGGATCTGGCTGACAGGAAGAACAACTGGGAGGACAGATCATACTGTGCCAGAATAGAAACTAGTCAGTAATTTCAAGAAAATGGCAAAGACCACCACTTGACAGGCACACAGGAGTTGTGGGGGCTCAATGCACTCTCCATACACAAGAATCTTCATGGAACTGGACCACAAAGCATTAAACAGTTTTCCTGAATGTCTTGAACCCATACCTATAAAATTTCTCACTGTAGCCACCAATAAAAATTGTTTCCCTTCTGAATACCTACCAATTCAAAGGCACGTCTCAGTCAGTTTCATTATATACACATTAAAATGTACTCCCGCTTTTTTCAAAATTGCACATGGAATTGGAAGCAAAACATTATTTTGTTAATTAGGTCGATCAACTATCTCCTATATAGCTAGGAAACTCAAATCCTTGTGGCTTACTGCCAAGTTCTACCAAACTACTCACAGATGTTCTGTGAATGACAAGGAATGAAAACATTCCCAATTGAAATCTTAGTCACTTAACTGCTATAAAATATTTAAACAATTTTGCCTGAACATTGGAAAAATAGTAACACGTGTTCCAAAAATTCTCTCCTCCCAACCAAAATGAAATTACATTTAAAGATCATATTCCTTGCACAACACAGAACAGCTGTGAAATGTAAGACTGAAAGAAATACATTTGAAGTCTTCCCAAACAGGTTGAACAAGAGCGACTCTTTCCTTCCCTCCAGTAGGACACACAGTTATCCAGGAAGTATTCTTCAAAATTTTAACTGCCTTACACATAGATAAGCCCTCTAACACGAAAAAACCTCAAATAACCCCTGTCCCTCATATTAGCAGTTTCTTGACTGGTGAGCAATGGATTAAATCTGTGCAATGGTGGTATATAAACAATGCAGTAATTCTTGTTGAACTTAGCCAGAAAGTGACTCCTGCTGACAACTACCCAGAAAAGAAAGATGAAGGTAACAGACTGCCTACCTGCCCTGTGGCCCTTCATTCATATCTCTCCAGAATCCAGTGGTCAAGCATGAGTTCGCAGCATATTTCTTGCCAGCACTCATTAAATGTCAAAAAAAGATTTATCCGAACCTTCTGCTTCAGGTAAGTTGACAATTGGCTTCTTATGAATTGCTAGGAAATGCACTAGCACTTGGAGTTGATTCACGGAAAAAAGACTCTACAACTCGAATAGAGTTATAAAGCAGGTATGTTTACTCCGGTGCCGGGGTGCAAAGGGATCTCTCCACAAAGCTTGCACACCCACCGCACATTTTACCGAAAACTTCTGGAGTGTGGATATCCATATTCATTGAATTACATAACACAAACATACATATGCATGAGTAAGGCTGGGTTAGTTAGAAAGGCTGATGTCAACAGTTTATGTCATCTTTGCACCTGCGCATTGCCTCCTGGTGGTTGTCGGGGGGTCTTTGGGAGGAAGGATCACAGTCTTTCTCACTTTGTTTTTTCCCCGGAGCACGTGCAGATTCTCTTGGCCAATTTCTTGAATAACACGAGTGTTTTTCAGATGGTTTACTTTCTATCTTATCTAAGAGAACCAATAGAACTTCTACCATTCATATATGGCTACCTGTTACTCAAGGACAAAAGTATAATATTTTGCTGAACATTGTAATCCTTGGTAGAATTTCACAGTGAACTGCTTTGTTCTGATGAACACAGTAGTCCTTGGTAAAATTCCACAGAACAGTCTGGGCAAGCAGGATTCTTAGCAATATTTTAAAAAAATACTATAACTTGCTATAAAGTAAGTAAATAAGTTGATAAGCAGTTTGCTATAAGTAAATAAATCTCAAAACAAGTAATTATTTCTCTGTATCAGAGTGAAATATCATGGGAAACAAGGCATCTACTTGGGATCAAAGATTAATTAAATGACAGCTTATCTCTCTCCTATAATTCCAGGTAGTATCATTATTATAAGATTTATAGGGGGTTTTTTCCCCTCAAATTTCAGATAGCTTTATAAATTAAACATTTTTTAGCCTCTGAAACTCTTAAACCCCTGCAGTAACTTGGGAACCTACATGAACTCTTACCTATTAAAAAAAGGTCAGTTGAAAAGACCTTGTATAGCAATGTTTCTAATCTGAAAATAGAAGACACCCACTCAAACAAATTCCTCTACCTGCCTTGGGTCAATTTGTAAATACAAAACAGTTAAAGAATTTGTCCAGTCTCTCTTGTTCTGATGTTGCACAGACTGATCAAATAGAAGCAGTACCAAAGTACAGAGGATAGCAATCATGAAGCAATGATGAGATGTTCAGGAAATGTATGCTATTGCTGGGAGTGAGATATTGACACTTATATTTAAGAAACTGCAAAATGACTTAAGATGTTACAACATAATTTTCCTGATGGGGTAGGACTCAGATCAGTGACAGAACAGGAGAGGACATTTTCACTGCACATAGTAATGTGCTTTGTGACACTATCCATAGGAAACTGTTGCAAATTACAGTAACTCTGGGGTTGATTTTGGATCTAAATAAGAAAATAAATCCATGGCTTTCAGTTATCTTTGTCCTGCTTTGCACAGCAGCACTTTTGCTCATCTTCAGAATAAAAGGGCAACACATAATTGGAGCACTCTCCTTCTCTACCATGCATTAGTGCTTGCCTAAACCATCATATTTGTCATAATCTATATTAGTAATATGAAATTTTACAAAATACTAAAGTTTAATGGCAGTAGTCCAAGACAGTTAAAGGATAGCTTAAGGAATAACAAAGATCTGCACATCATAAAGAAAAAAAAGGCTATAGCCACATAAACTTGTCTTTTCATTAGTAGCAAGAATATATTTCCAAGAGGAAGGAAAAACACATTTCAGTTCCGAGTGACACCATGCATGCAACCTGCATGATGCTGGAACTCATGGTGCAACTACAAAAGCTGACCTAAATCCTTCAAAAAGCATACCTGAAACCCAGAAGGTCATAAGTATTTATTCTGAGGAACATAAAGAGTTCTCGAACTTAAACTGTCTATCAGGTTAACAATGACTAATCAGCTGGATTTGTCTTACATCTGAATCACCCTTGGGAGAAGCAGAACTGAAAAAAATTCTGATCATGGGATTAAGATTTCATCAAAAAAGATCCTGCAGACAGACTGGTCAGGAGTTTCACCATTCTGGAAAGATATGTGAGTCTAAATTCAGGAATAGGCTCTTCTACCAGAATGGACAAAGAGAGAATAGATCTGCAGTCCTCAAGATAGCTATGCATGGAACCATCACAAAAGCAAATACAGCCTTGAAGCTGAAATCCAAAGTCACCAGAAAATCACCAGGTGGCATCACACAGCACAAGTGCCTGTATTACCTGCAGTATAATTTGAAGGCAAATTAGCTGCTAATTTAAAAGAGGAGATGCTCACACTAACACGACTATGTTAAAGGGAGATATGGTGGAAAAAGCTACTCCTATTTTTTCAGACGGCACATATGACCATTGTTAATGTTGATAGTACTTTCCCCTGAGGAAAGTGAAGTGAGAAGGATAATATCAAAAGTCTTGGCTTCTGGTAACACTGGAGATCAAGGATAAAGACACTAAAGAAATACCAAGAAAAATATCACATACAATTCCCAGAGAGACATTGGGAAGGAGCTCCAGAATATGAGAAAAGAGAAATACTTTTAGTGACTTCCAAAACAACAGAGAAAAGAAAATATAAGTGCCTTATTTCCTTTTCAATTTCTATACTATGTCTGCATTATATAAGACAAGGGTTGAAACTGCTGATAGAATAACAGGACCCATTTTATGCTACCAGAACTTCTAGACAGTGTGAGGGCTCTGTATATGATGACATTTTCCAAGAGAAGGCTACATTTAACTAGAATAATTGTACTGGTAATCAGACCTAGGAATGGGCATTTGTACTGTGGTGTGATGACAGCAATCTATTGCATGAGGACAAGAGTAAAGGTCTAACCCAAAGGAGCAAGGCTCCAAGAACCAAGGCAATACGAAGGAAATTTGCTAGTAGGATGCACTGTCACCTTTCCTATCTTTCTCTTATGCACTTCGGAAGATGCTGTATTTTCCTGGGTTATGTTCATTACCCAACTGATACAAATATCTTGTAAAATTTACTAGAGAGATTATAGTGTCTTCAGTGTGAAAGACAGGAAAACACAAAAACCCCTCAAAACTGGACCATTCTTGTGCTTAATGTTACTTATAAACTCTGAAAGGGACAAAAGGTCTCATATTTTGTAATCAGTTTACTTTTATAAAAGATCTGTCAGAGAGTTATCAGACAGATATACTGTCTGAAAATCATAAAAAAAACCACACCAAAAATTCTACCTATAACACAGTTCTTTGGGTTCATGACTCCATGATCTGAAGCACTGAATATGAATTTCATACTTGGACTCTTTTAAGGTTCTTCTATTCCCAGCACATAAACACCTTAGAACAATAAATACAGCCCAGACTGTACCTTGCCCAAACAGTAGTTTTCTTGCGTTGTACAAATGCTCATATCCAGAAGAGAAAGACATCAAAAATAAGAATTGACTGAGTATGGCAACAAAATAAGTGAAGTTAAAAAGAAAACAAAATAGACTCTTTGCAAATCTCAGTTAAGTGAGGCTATGGAAGACCTACAGATTCAGCACTTCACTTAGAGAAACTGAAGGTATCTGGCACAAACTATACACTGTCTGTGAGCATGTGTAAGATGGAGGGCGCTAAAAAGCTTTAACATAAATGGCTGGACATATGCATACGTATGTGAAAATGCAACAGCATGTATTTTAACACAGGGGAAGATACAGGTGCCTGGAATACATACATTATTTCCATGTGAAAACTGCTACTCTTGAGCCCTTGCAGGGAGTATCCTTACAATAATGCTCGAATTAAGCAGACCAACTGTTCCAAAATGCCACCAACACATCAGTATCAGGAGACAAGTGTGGATTTTTGTGCAAATGCATCAAGAATGCACCAAGAATGCTGAATTAGATGCTTAGGTACTGCTGTGTACCTAAGCACTAGGCTACTGCTGGGTGAAAAAGGAAACAGGAAAATCAGGCAACTAGACTTAGTTACCTATTGCCTGTATCACCTCAATTAGGGCTAATCACCTAAATTTGGAGTAATACTTCCTGGCTTTTGTGTGTGTGCCCTAGAACAGAGGGGGTAGGAGGGGGAGGAGAGGGAGGGAGGGAGAGAGAAGAAAGGTGGAACTTTAACACCCCATACCGTTTTACCATGGGAAAGAAACCAATTCCTTTTACAGGAATTCTGGAAGACAATTCCAAGTACACAATGTAATACAGTGCAGACACATGCCACAGATGTAGACAAGCCAGTATGTGTATGCAGCATAGTGTAGGTAGACTCCCTACCCCTGGTCCTAGGAGGATAACCATGTTATTTCAGTAACAGAACTGATCATTAGACTAAGATAATCTAGGCAGAATTTACTAGCTCAGATGCAGCATAACTCTAACTCACCTGTACTGCCTCTGGCTGGGGAGCACATTCACAGTATTTGAAGTCACAGTACTACGCACTGCTACCTACTGAAGATAAAACTGATCTAAGTTATGCATAAAAATAATGGGGACTCAAAACTGAAAGTGAAATTTCTTGGATCTATAAAAACTTAAACGGGAGTTTAATGCTGTAGAATGTAATATAGTTCCTGAGGAAGAGTCTGTAAATTGACATCTCGATGACAAAATACATTTTAAATCTTTTCCTCCTATTGTCTCTGCTTATTTAACACATTTTGAAATTTCATGATACAGTTCTCATTCCAAACTGAGATTCTTCTGGGATGTTAATCTAAAAATGAAGTTTTAATGCAGGAATCTTAATGCTTGGACTTTTTTGGCCAAGGGCCTTGATGAGAAAAGAGAAGAAGAGGGAATGTGAAGGTATTGTGCATTCACTACAGTACACGGTAAGGTCGTATCACAGTTAGCAGTCATCTAACAATATAAAACTCTATAAAATTAATTGAAAATTGCCTGTCAATCCCAGTAGCTGGCAGATGTATGAATCCTAAACTGGAAATGATGTGCAAATTTTTAAGCAAAGATGGTAACTGACCACATGAAAAAAACTATCAATAAATAAGCTAAATTCTCTGTCACTTGTAAACCCTGCATCAAAATTCTAATGATTCTAAAGTCTGCACTTAAGATCAAAGGCATGTGACTCTGAAGTAGAAATCACCAGATATACCTTGGAAAGGAGATCATATAACACATGTAACAGTTGGCAAAAGGAGAAATAAATTACAAATTGTTCATACACAAATGGGGGCAACCCAGTATGTGCTCCAAGCTATGTCACACCAACCCAGCTGCTTGAAGTGCTCTTCTTGCTCTGTCACAGTCCAGTGTGTATACACATGCACACATACCTACTTGTTTTTAAACCTTTTTATGAAGCAACATTTGTAGTTTCTCTGTTCTTTTTAAAAGGAGGAATGTCAAATAATCCCAGAGTTTGACGAGCACTGTGCAGATTTGACCAGTTTGCCACAAAAACATCGGAAGTGTTCTCATTTATTTCCTCAAAGTGCGTAAATACTCACAATACTTACCTCATAGACATTGAACTGAGATTGCCCTCTCGACAATTCTCTGTAACTTGTTGTGAATTCTCCGATGAAATCATGGCTGTATTAAAAAAAAAAAAAAAAAAAAAGGTTTTCAAATCAAATGCACAGCATTTAGTAATTTAAACATGTATTACACCTATTTATGAAAAAGAGCAGCACAGCCAATATAAACTGACACCCAAGAAAGGAGCAATGGCAAAGAAATAATTTGCTTTAAAATCTTCATTTCTCCTTCTGTTGTGTGTTCACTCCATTAGTAAAAAAATGTAGAGATGAAGAGCATTAGTTTAAATCTTTCTGATGGCTTCTGCTTAACTTAGCTGCACAAGAAGACTAGGTTGTAAATTAGTGATGTGACCCCAGTGTAAGCTTACAGAATCTGAAAAAACAGAGTGGACTATCAAAGACTATAACCATTTTCTCACTGGATAACCACTGGCACCACAGACTCTCTACTATGTGCAAGAATACGTTGGAGAAAGGGAGATATTAAGACTGTGAAAGGATTAGCTTAAACCAGAAAAGACCAGCCCTACCAATTTGTGCAATGTGACGTTGAATGGTACTTCTAAGGGGAAGATCCAAAGATTATTTCAGCTGCTATGTCTTCCCATCTGAGAGAAGAAAGCAATCCACTGAGGCTAGTCAGCTCACAGTATTAGGCATCACTGGCAAGCAGATCTTAACACTAAAGCAGTGATTATCAAGCTTCCCCTTTATAAATTCTATTCCTGCTCCAAGAATGCATTTGACAATCCTGTGCGGTCACCCACATTTTGAAAACTGTTAACTCTTAACCAGGGGATGGCATGCTGCCAAGGAGCCACTGTGAGCAGGGTGGCCAGAGGGAGTGTAGTGGATGAAGCACCGCTGAGAAAGGCGGCTGGGGTCAGGGAGCTGGGGCACAGAAATCACAGGGCTGCTAGAAGTAACTGAACTGCAGGTTCATATCTCAGACAGGTACCTGGAAAGGAAGCAACTGCAGGGGTGAGAGCCTAATAGCTGGCTACACAATTCCCAGCAGTCACAAGAACCGTTCTCATGCTCCGCTCTTCCCAGCTAAACTTTCCTCGCTGCTGCTCCAACTCCCATTTCCCCCTGCTCATTTCCCTCTGTTTTCACAGTTGTTCCCTAACAAGGTATTGTATCTTTTCTACACTCTAACTCCACATCTGGTGAGCTATGAAACTAACTTTTTTACCTTCCCTCCAACGGTAAACTAGGATAGAAAGTCAAGGTTTTCTAACTTTGTTACTTGTAAGATTTGTTCTTAAGAAATATAGCACACTTCTAATTAAGTTATAAATATTAAAAGAAAATTTCATTAAATCTGAATGTTGCAAGAAGAGAAAAAATGGAAACAATCCACAGCAACATTAAATTTCTTTCTTGATTTATTCATAATGAAATGAAAAAAAACAAACCCCAAATATAAATCTCACTTTCTGAAATGAGCATATATTTGCAAAATACATAAACCAAACAATTAAAAGGTCCAGTCATCATGCTAATGTGCATGAAGTAAGCAAAGCATCCTGTAAGAAAGCCTGAGAAATACTATACAGTGAAGGCTTAAACGCTCAGCTTCAGAAGGGACCACCTCTCATGAAAAACTCTCCTTCCAGTTTGGAGATCAGGAAGTTGCTTCTGAGAGAGACAGACTAAGACTTCTCTTAAAAAACATATTTTAGAGATATCAATTCCTCTGATTAAAAGGTCTCCAGATTGCAATAACTCTTTAACCACTGGAACAGAGGAAGCCACCCATACAGTCTATAGAACGGGAGTTCTTTATGGACTGTAGCACATAAGGTGTATTTAAACTTGGGTAACCATGGCACTGGAGAAAAACGTACCTTGGTTAAAGAGGAACCTTTCCCTTTCATAACAGTTCTTACCTTACATTTTTAAGTCAGCTTGTGTGTTTCAAAGGCGGATATTCAAACAATAGCTCAATGACTACCTACAAACATTCTGCAGCAAATAGAGGAAACGTAAGCAATTCCAGACAGGGCTGTCTCTGAGGGAAAAATATCCATACCACTTGAAAGTAATGGTTTCTTTAAATCTAAGAGACACTAGAAAGCCTACTTTCCTTGTGGCAATATACACAGACTGACAAGAACTGAGCTAGAAAGATGTAATTTCTCTGAGCAATCACATTAAAAATGTATGGGCATATATAACCAGTCTCAGAGTTCTCTGCACTTAAAAGATCATTAACCTGGATCTTAACGCTCAGGATTCAGATGGATGTTTGCCCCTCTAGTTGGCTCTGAAAGACAAGTGCCTGTCAGACAACATTTGCCTTTGCCTTAAGAAAAACAAGGCACTGATCTCTTCCAATATTCATGATCACACTTCACCAAATGGATCATTAGTCTCTAGATTGAGAATCCAAAGAAGTTATTCTCTTTGCCTTCCTAACACCAAATATTCCTAGACTTTTTTTCCATGAGTGGTATATCAGAACACTGAATCAGAGAGTCTTCACACATAAAATAATCACTTGAAGCCCATCTCACTAAATCTTCCACTTTTAGCACTATGCTTTGAAGTGCTGAAAATCACTTTCAGAATTGTATTAACTTTGATTTTTTTTTTAATGATCTAAAGGAAGAAAACAATGGAGGAAAGGAAAATCATGATCAGAAATATAGAGTAAGTGGAAAAATGGGCTTGTCCAAAGCAATAAAACCAACTTCTGTGACTTCTTATAGCATCAAGTATTTTAGGGCTTGTCACAGCTCTTCGAAGTAATAAAAGGTATCAAGTAGAATAAATCATTCACATTTTGAAAATTTTTGTCCAAAAATTGGTTTGAGACCAAAAAAAAATTTAATAATTAATAGTGTTAATGTTACAAAGGTCCTGTATTACTTTTAGTCAATAAATTTTAAGTGATATTTGAAAATAAATGAGAGTTAAGGATATACAATGACTCTTACCAATGTAATGCACAAACGTGACAGCAAGACGCTCTACCCAAAGCACCCTGGCACCTTTTTTTTCAAAGCATAGATAACTCAAAATGAGGAAAAAGGGGAAAAAAAAATCCCTGTAAGTCAAGACTCAAGAAGTCAGAGTCAAGTCAAGATTCAGAAATCAAGTATATGCACAGTCATGTTGCCTTACTGATTGCAGAATAACCTGCTATATTCAGTATAACTTCCTCTGCTATCTAGCAGGCTCTCTTATGATCTTTCAAAGGTTGTTCCTGCCCAGTCTGCACCTCTCTGGAGCAAACAGATTCAGCATAATGAGGTGATCAGCTAGTGTAACAATGCCTTAAAACAAAGATCCATCAAAAATGGAAATTAATATGAACAGCGTAACAGCACCATTGTACAAAAACCTGATAAGAGTAATTCTTGAATTGATTCACTTCAGATACATTTGGCAATGTCAAAGTTAAATTAGACACTTAGTTTCTTGCTACTATCACCAGTAAATCATAGGCACCACCAACTGGCATTTATTCCAGTTAGGATGGATTCAATCAGACTATTTCCCCCTGTAAGCTACTGAAGCAGCTGTGAAATGATTAGTTCAACCCAGTTGTCTGATTTTTACATTGTCTGAAGTGACATGAGATGAGTGCTTTCTCATCCTTCGGAGGAATTTAACATGTAAGATGTCAGTGTTCTGCCTGCTTCTAAATTCAAGAAAGGTAGAAAGCAAAAGGAAAGAAAAATACAATTAGAATAAAAAGGAATATATGTAAATAGTATCCTTCACTTTTTGTTTTTTAGATATTAATTTTGTAGGTATTCAGAGAGGGATGTGAGTAAAAGCTGATAATCTTTCAAACTGTTTGGGAGAGTACAGAGCCTCATGATTGCCTGAATTCCACAGTATGTTGAAGATTTCACTCAGAATTGTGGCTACACAATATTATTCATCAGATTTCTTCCTTTTCTTTTTAACCACATCTCAGTTACAGATTTTGGACAAAGTGGGACAGCACATGGGGGTTGATACCTTAATAAAATATAGTATTTATTTTTTATTAATTTGACAATATAATTTTTCATTGTTAGATTATTTTTAAAAATATTGTCGTTTATACACAAAAGTGTAAATATATCACATTTTTAAGGATCTGGCAAATCTAAGTGAGGAACAGAGGATGTTAACAGAAATTAATCATTACAGCAATGAAGTGAATTTTTTGCTACTATGGCTTTCCTAAATTAACTACTTGTATTTTTAATTGCCAGAATATGTTATTTTGTCTTGCCAGGGAATATATAATCAAGAAGGATGAATCTGCACTAGCAGGTATTTCTAGAAGGTAAACATGTGATAAGAATGCTTATAAATAAACAGGCTTCAGGGAACCAAAAAGAAAAATGTATAAACTGAGAAAGCTGAAACTGGTTTTGGACCTTGTCATCAAAGAAATGAATGGCAGCACAGGACATATTTGCCTATTATGATTACAAGATCTGTTGGGCCACAGAAGCACAATATCATTAGCTGTAATAATAGAAGCAAATTGCATTAGCAATATTAAAGACATTACTGTATAATAAATAATATACTCTCAAAAATCCAAATGCATGTGCATATCCATGTATTTAAAAATATAAATTAAGATTAATAGGAAATATTTGCGACAGATCAATTTAAAGATAAATAGAAATCAACATATTCTTGTACTACATACAAGATCTAGTACCAAAATATTAAGATAAAAGCTCAAATACTTTTAAAAGAACAAGAAGTATCAATCCAGTCTGATAAAAAATAATTTTATCTTGTTTGTCAAAATAAATTGAAAGGCTAATTTCTTCATAAAAAAAGGTACACTCAGTACAGACATCAAGCTTGAAAAATAACAGATTGCTCCTCTTGAATTCAGCCACAGAAATTCAACATATATTCCACCATCGTCTTGCTAGCAAGGGAGTTATTTAAAACCTGGGTCTTCCAACTCTACAGTTTTACAACGCTCTGATGAAGACAGGCATGGAAATGAACATTCAAACCCATCTGAAATTACGATAATTAATAGGTAGTTTCTACATTGCAATAGCTAGGCAACCATGAAGCAGCACTTGCAGGCTCATGCACTTTATTGTAGATGAAAAGCAACGGTTTATGAAGCAGCGTTTTAAGAAAAGTAGATTATAAAATGGGTTATGCAACTCTTCATACATGTACATTCACTAATAACAACACAAGATTCACAAAACTGATTTTACAGATCACAAAGCATTCTATCTTGTTTGTTTCATGTATAAATTATACACATATCATGTTTGAAATAGGCTAATACATCAGCATTTACCACAGTTGCAACCCAAACCAGAACTGCAGCACAGCAAAACTTTTTTTCCAGTACCTGTATCTCTAAATATTGATAAATACTATTCTCTAGTCCTGTTCTGGAGACTATATATATATTTTAAAACATATACAACTATGCATGGATACCCTAAAGTTTAACAACAGAATTAATGTCTTACCTTCCATCTCTATCCCAATCATACACTTCTACTTTAATTGTCCTAAAACCAAAACAAAACACAACCCTATTAAAATATATATTAAAGCGTACCAGGATTGCCTTTAACACTTGTATTTTAATAGTATACATGTGCATCAATTGTGCCAAATCCAGAGGGCAGAATTTTCCAGTCATTTCTCACAGGGCAGAAAATAGCAAGTCACTCGGGTTATCAAACACATCTTCATAAATTAATAGAAAAATACAGTAGAAGCTAAGAAAACAATTAAACACATTGGAAGTTTAACTAATATCTTTTTACTTGATGATGCTCTGAGTTTTATGTGGGTTTTTTATAAATTATTCTTTAAGCCTTACAGTATTATCAAAGTTTTTAAGAACATTAACAAACTAGAACTTACTGTGAAGGTTTTTTTGGTATGTGCTTTTTCTGGACTATCAGCAGATACTCATTTGAATTAATCTGACTGCTAACGAGTATTTCTTAATTTGAAACATATATCATTGTAGGCACGATTATGAAGTTCCATGGAGCCTTTATTCACAAGGCATTCACTGAGTACATTATGTTGAAAGCTTTCAGAGTAGAATCAACATGAGAAAACAGTAGTTACAAAATAATTTGAGACATGATATTATACTTTTTAATTCTCTTTTGGAATGCTGGATTTATTTCAAAATGCCTCTACCACGATATCTTTTTTAATTATTATGAAAACCTTTTTCTTTAACATGATAAATAGTGCAGCATCCAGAAACTAGCTAATGAGCACTGTTTTGCTTATGTATTATGCACAGGAACCTATATACAAATTAAAAATTCTATTTGATTAGAATGTACTTATCATGAAATTGCTGTATTTTTATCGCATCTAACTGAAAGAGTAAACAGCATGGCTGACAACTGTATCAAGTACTTCACAGGGAGAGTGTCAGCAACAGAAGAACCCTTTTTCCTTCAGTTTGAAGGAACATGACGTCAAGTACTGGAAGAGTATCATAGATCAAATAAAGAGCTAAGATCTTATAGAAAATACTAAAAGTGGCCCAAAAATTATAACCCTCTCCCCAGTTTCCCAGGATAAACCCCCCTACAAGTCAATTAGCTTTTGACTTTTCAATAAGCAGCTTATAAAGACAGAGCTTTAAGTTTATTACTGTGGAAGCATTTTGCTCAGCTTAGTGAATATAAGCGCTTCTTACTCTCCTGCTTCTTCAAACTGACTACTGAGATTCAGTCAGATGATTCAGGAGTTGGTTTGTATATCCCTTGACATTAGCTAGTAAATTAAAAGTTCAAGGAATATCTCCTCAGAAGACTAGGCTTTCACAGTAAGCGATTACAATAATTTTAGTGTACACATTTCACTGAATAATTAGCTGAATAATGTAATAGACTTATGACATGGCAAAATCATGTACTACAGTAACATAAAATATACATGAATGGATGATCACCATGTATATGGAAGCTGAAAATTAAAATTTAGATAGAAAAGTAACTACTTAAATTCCAATTTAACATTGATTCAAAGACACTCATGGTAAGAAAACTATTAATTTGAGCAAAGTCCTACTTAATTTCCTACATGCAGCAATGTTTCAACAAAGCATCTGGCTTCTACTGATGGAAACATTAGTACACAGTTAGAAGAATACAATGCTAAACCTCTTTTTATTTTAATCAATAACATAAAATACCTTATATAAGATAATAAGATATGATCATACCAATCTCAGCTTAATAAAAAAAAAGTTTAAGGGTTACAAGGCATTCAGACTAGATTTTTGACCTTTTGCCTTTGAAATACCCAAACAAGTTCATTTTGCATCTTGTGTTTTTCACGCAGTCTGTGTAAAGCTGAATTGAACCTTAGCACACCTAGCCATCTATCTACTACATTCAGCTTATATATTGTACATATTTTTATTCTAGACTTCATATATTTCCTTCATGATTTTAAACTAAATATTGCACGATACACTGGTAAAAGTATTATGACTAATTGATAAATCTAGACTTCCTCAGAGTCTTACCAAAATAATTCCAGCACTCCAGATTTCAGCTGGCAGAGCTTGATAAACTACCAGACATTTAACTGGGTACTTAATACTAACACCAATATCTAACTGCATTTCAAAAAAATGGTGACAACGGAACAAGAAGTCATCAGCAGTGAGTTAAACATTTTCCTTGTTGATATTGTTAGAAGTTAACATGTCCATTTTTTAAGGAGTCTAAAAATTAGTTCCTTAACTAATTTGCTTGCTATTATTGGTAAAATATTGGTTAAAACCATGGTACTGTTACCATGTTTTGCAAGGATGGATCCTTTTGCATGTGATCATTGAAAACTTCAAATCTGAAGATGATTACCTTTTGCATTTCTAATCTACTTAGCTATGTATTTTAAAAGCTTTTATTTATCAGCATCCTCTGACATTACAATGTCACCCAGTGAAGACAGATTATCATTGTTTTTCATTGAAATGTTATTAAAAAATACTTGTGCACACTAGTAACAGTGGCCATTCTTCCAACTACTCTTCCCTTTCTGTTTCTTAATCACACCATAATTATTTTTTTTTTTCCAGAAATCACCACTAACATTTCCTACAGATTAAGCACATTGGCTTTATCTTTCTAAACTCTATAATGTGATGAATGGTTTTGAACACAGGTTATCCTTTCAAAATGCTGATTAAATAAGCTAAATAATAAGAGGAACTGAACTGCATAGGACAACTTACATATACATGAATTAGGGGAAAAAAATCATATATGTTAAGAAAGTTTAACATATAGCTTACCGGTCATAGTCTCCATTACACAGTGCTCTGACAGAAATCTTGAATGCCTGCCACACTGGATTTAATGTATTTTTTACAACTTCTGTTTTGTGGCAGATTGTAAAACTGTAGTAAAAAAAAAAGATAAGTTTTTTATTTAGTTCATTTTTCTTTTGTGTCATCAAACATGGAATCAAAAGAGCTCTAGTCTGTATTCATTCATTCATTCAATGTCCATATAAAATTTAAGATAAGAAAAAAAGAAACACAAATCAAAAAGAAGGAAAGACCAAAGAGGACAGACCTGTTTGAGAGAGATTATGGAGTAGGGTGCTGAACAACTCTGAACCTAAAATGTTTTTAACCAAAACTTTGACAAGAATTACAACCATTCAGTGAGTTATTTCAGGCAAGAGCAGTCTCCATCCTATTTGCTTTAGCAGGACTTGTATAGCCAGGAATCAGTCACAGATCCAGAAAGAAAGTGGTCTGGTAAAGATCTGACTCTTGCTTAGTGATTAAGAAACTCAGCCAAGGAAGTCATGGCTTTCTGATTCTTGTTCCACATTTTATGTCTATGATTTTTTTAACGAGGGCTCTCTCAGGTGAAACATATAAGCCTTTGTGAGATCCCATGGTCACCTTCTCTCAGGTGAAATACAATGAATTGTTTTAATGCATTCTGCTTTCTCTAAATAATACAAAATTAAAATACTACTTCTGAATCCTCATCTTGGGGACTGAATTGTTCAAAAGAAAATAGGAGTCAAGGTCACTGCTGAAATCACTACTGAAATTCTACATACAGATGTAACTAAAGTTGTCCTTTGACAGAATATCTTCCTTACGTTCTAAATGCCTATGTTTTAATCCTAGCTATGATTCAGAAAGCATGCCTGAAGCTAAGAGACAGAAAAGGGAGCATCCTTCTGTCAGGGGTACAGAAGTAGTGCCCCAATCGCCTATGAGATTCAGGACACCATTAAAGAATCCGTGGCTCTACATTAATTTCTTGGAAGGAAGTGGAGAAGCATGGCACTCAAGGCCAAGAGAAATTACATGTAACAGCACTCCCAGTAATGCCCAGAGAAATTCCGCTAATGACCTTAATGTCACTGACAAAGGAGCTGTAAGTCCTCCAGGCTTGCAACTTAAGATATTCTACATTTATTCAGGAAACTGTTCCTATAATCTGCCTCAGAGAAAAGAAGGGAACAGACGCACATATACCCATAACATAGGTTTATGTTAACAACTATTCCTGTTAAGCTACTGAAACAAGTAATATTATACATGTCTAGCCTTTGGTTCGATATGATATTACATGAGAGGACTATCAGTTTCCAAGAAAACTCCCCCTGCCAGTAGACCCCCATGTAAGCAGCATGACCACCATATACTGGCACGTCAAGTCTTAGCAGCAGAACAGGAGAGCTTAATCTACTTTAACAAATTAAAGCATGAATGTAGCAAACAGCCACTTGTAAAAAAAATTTCTATTATTTAAGGTATTTTTGAATTGTGTTTCCTAGAACTCTGTCAAAAAGATAATGCACTATAAAATGTTTTTATCTAAAACAATTTCTAAGCATTAGCATATTCTGCAGCTACAATTTTCTTTGAGAATTCTATTTAAAGACATCCTATATCTTAGTAAAAGTAATGCTATTTAACTATTTTTATTACAATTAATTTTCACAGTGCTCCAGATTTATCACACATTTAACTCTTAAAACCCTGAGTTACAATATTTGATCTATTTGTTACAATAGTTTTACTGCTATACTGCATAACATAATTAAATCCAACAAACACTATAAAAGAAGCTGAGCTTAATCTGACAAATATAAAAACATAAAAATTATAATACTATCTGCAAATATGTAAGTTGCCTACTATTTAGCAGCAGAAATACTTAACAGGCATCTACCTGCCATCTTCATTGCTTCGATGAAATACAAGGAAAGGATCAGATTTCCCAAAGAAGTCCTTCTTGTCTAGCTTGTTAGCACAAAACTGCATCAAAACTGAATCCTGAAATGGGTAATACAGAAAAATTACATACAGCATGCAGTTTACTAAACTAAAATAAATTTTAAAAAAAATAATCACTGACTAATAACCATACATGTTGAAAACAAAATAAAGGAGAATATCTGTCTTCTAGATGCCTTCTACATATTTGTATTCCTGAAATGTCTCTATAGTGCAGTTTGAACTGCTGGAACTGAGAATTCCTTCATAGGGAGGTGCCGAGGAAGGGTAAATTTCTATATTAAATGCCTCAGGATTTTTCCTCTATTTTCTGACATCCAAACTAGCATTTTGAGGAAAGTAGATGCACAGGCAAGGAATGCATATTAGAATTAATTTAAAAAAACTCCTGTGAGAGGCGACTAAGCCTCATTCCTTCAGTGACTTAAACCTGCAGTTTTCTGGTCCCACTGTCTGGAAAGCAAATGGCTTAGCAGCTTGCTATTAAAGAGTCTAGAAGCTTCCAGAAAGTGAGCCTGGAAGATACCAAATACACCCATTTTGATGACAAATAATGAGAAAAGTTTCTTTACTGTGGTCAGGCAAACCGATAGTCACACATGATCACCTCTTTGGGTAGAGTCAAGAATTGAAGAAAGATTATAAATGCAAAGATAAACCTGCAGACTCACCAGCTAACTGGGGCAGAGCCTGACGGAAGACGGTGTTCCGTAAACAGGTCTAAGGTGTAACAGCAACAAGAGGAAGACTAGGGAAAATGTGGGTTCACCACTGAGTGGGGCAAGGGACCAAGTGACGAAGGACATGGAAAAGACTGTGTTTCTCATAACCTTCTATGCCTTGGTCTTTACTGGTAAGATTTGCCTTCAAGAACCTTGGGCACCTGAGACCCAGCCCTGAGAAAGTCTGGAACAAGGATGAATTGCCCTTGGTAGAAGAGAATCAGCTAAGGGAATATTTAAACAAACTAGACATACAGAAGTACATGGGACCTGGTAAGATGCATCTGTGAGCGCTGATGGAGCTGGCCAATGTTGCTGTGAGGACACTTTCAATTATCTTCGGGAAGTCATGATGTTCAGAGGAAGTTCCTGAGGACTGGGACAAAGCAAATGTCATTCCTATCTTTGAGAAAGGGCAAGGAAGTGGATCCAGGCCAGTCTTTCCTCAGTCCCTGAGAAGATGACAGAGCAAGTAATCCTGGAAAACATTTCCAAACATGTGAAAGACAAAAAGGTGGCTGAGTGTCATCAGTGTGGATTTACAAAGGGGAAATTCATGCCTGAACAACCTGAAGCCTTTCCTCATGAAATGAGTAGCTCAGTAGATGAGGGGAGACTAGTGGATGTTGTGTATTCTTGACTCTAGCATGGCCTTAAACACTGTCTCCCAGAAAATTCTTGTTCACAAACTGGTGAAATATGGACTAGATAACTGGACAGTAAGGTAGACTGAAAACTGGCTGAACTGCTGGCTTCAATGGGTCATGATCAGCAGCACTAAGTCCAGTTGGAGACTAGTGGTGTACCCCAGGTGTCAAAAATGGGGCAAATAATATCAAACATCTTCATTAATGACTTGGATGATGTGACTGATTAAACCCTCAGCAAGTTTACAAATGATACAAAACCAGTAGTTGTAGAAAGACATGGCCATTCCAGCAAAAGGGTCACTAAAATGATTTAGAGATTGGGCCATCTCTCATATGAGAGGCTGAGAGCGCTGGAATTATTTAGCCCGGAGAAGAGAAGGCTCAGGGGGATCTTATCAATTTGTATATATATCTGATAGGAGGGAGTAAACATACTCTGCTTAGTGGTATCCAGTGGAAGAATAAGTGGTAACAGGTACAAATTGAAATACAGGAAATTCCATTTAAATACAAGGAAAAAAAACTTTTTAATGTGAGTGTGGTGAAGCACTGAGAGACTGTGGAGTCTGCTTGGACATACTCAAAATCTGACTGCACAGAGCTCCAAGTAACCTGCTCTAAGAGCAGAAAATTGGACTACATGATCTCCCAAGGTCTCTTCCAACCTCAGCAATTCAGTGATTCTAAAAATCTTTGCCATACTGAATACGAGCTATAAAAGTTTGGCCAAAAATCTCAGAAGATAAGAATTAATCCAAATAATGAATAAACTTAGGTAGGAAAACATCACAAAGAATGTAGCAGCTGGTGAGACAGTGCAAGAGACTGTGAGAGAGTGTACCCATTAAGGAGCATAACAGAGAATCCAAAAGAGAGAGCAAGAGAGCAAGACTGAATCCCAAATTCTTTGCAAGCTCCCCTCAGTGATTTTGAACTAGTCCTCACATATGCAAAATTGTGGTGAATCTGGAAGAATATGAAGGCCTTTAAAGGCACCTAGTATTTGTCTTCACCAGAAGGGAAAGAAGAAAAAAAAATCCTGTTCTGATTACTGATTTAATGACATATTTGTGACTTTTAAGTAGTTCGTTACAACTGGGATATAAATACTGGTCTTGAAGGCTAAACCCAGAATATCAGGAAAAAATCACCTTTCGTCTCTTTAAAGGTTACCAGTAAATGTTTGGGGTGATGACAAACATCTCTTAAGAGCTGTAGGTGCTTAACTTCGTAAGAAATTAGAAGTACAATTGCTGCAGGAAAACAATTAAATGATGCACCCATTTTGTCATCTGATAAAAGTGTGAACATTTTGATCATGTACTACATACAAATTTTGAGCCAATGTAAAACAGGGAAAAGACAGGCATTTTCCATGACCATATTTAATTCATTCATACTAGTAACAGGGGAATTTCCTACTGCTAAATGGCAGTTAAATGAGACTGAGCTGGTGCACCCTATTAATATAACTGTGTGGGACCAGCAGGTTGCCTGGAAAAGGTAAATAAGATTTGAGTCCATGTTCTATTCAAACATACCACTATACTACTTCTGCAGAAAAATAATACAAACTTGACTAATCTGGAAGTAAGGCACAAAATTAAGGATTTGTTTTTACTTCAAGTATCTAATAAAAATAAGAAAATAAAGCCTAAGCAGATAAACTTTTGTTGGATATGTAAAAAGAGAAACATGACTATTATATAAATAGAAAAAAAATTAACCACTCATGACGCAATATGAAAGTTAGAAGTTATACAAAAGGCCCCCTCAACACTATCCAATTAAAAAAACTAAGCCCCAGAAACAAATCTCTTCAAGCCTCAAGGATTTTTGTAGCTTTATGTATCTAATCTTTTACTCTCCATATCCCCTGTACATTCTCATCAAATGTCTGATACTATTCCTTTCTTCATTTAAGATTTGCTATCTTGTCATTACAAACTCTTAAAAGATACACCCTACAGCGCCATTCAATATATACCATGCTATGAGAAGTTGCCTCCCTACTCAGATTCCAAACAGTATTTATCACCCCATATGTACAATTCTTCCTTATTCTTCCTTCTAGTCTCTGTTTCCCTACAATTTACGGAATGCTGCTTGCTCATTCAATGCTGGGAAGCAACTTGAGGTGGCCTGGCTCGCGGGTGCTTTCTGACCAGTAAGCCTCCTCCTCTGTCCAGTCTCCTTTTCCATGAACCCTAGGAGAGTGAGGAATAGTGACACTACTCCTGGTTATGACCACACCACGTCTCTTCCCTTAACCAGCCAAATTACCCACTTTCCCTCCCTCCAATATTTTTCTGTTTTATGTTAAATAAGTAGACATCTACTATTAATAGGACACAGAAGTCTTTACCTTCTTTAAAGAAAACTGTTTAAACTCGTATTTTATGGCTATTCTTTGAAATACCTTACTAGTTTTTTTTCCAGTAAACATTTATTTCACGTTTTTTTTAAATAATATGACTCACTATTAGCATAAAACCTTTTAACTATAAGGTCAAATATCCAAAATTTTACTTCAATATACACATAATGTCAATATTCCATAATGGAAATAGAATTCCATGATTGAAACAAATGGATCTTTGTGAAAAAATGGATAGTAAAGGATTAAAATGGGATTAATTACTCGGGGAACTAGATTTATAACTCATCTAAGAATCAAAAACTTTATGCTTTTTATTGTTTTCTACTTCTTTCTGCTTCTTCTACCTAAAACTAAGAGTAACTGATAGGAAAAAGTATCCAAACTTCTTACATATATCACAAAATGTAAATTTATACCTTATACTTTGACAATCTGGTACAGTGTAAATCACAAAATCATTTTATTTTTCAAAAGCAATGAACACACACTTACTCGGCAACAGCCTAGTTCTTCTGCTGTTACTATGACTGTCCCACATTTTTTCCCAGGAATTCCTCTGCAAGAAAATACAACTACATCACTTCAGTTTCTTAATATTTATGAAAGTTACAACTGACACAGATAAGCACAAGGTAAGCTTTCAAGCCACAAAACTGATGGCATGCTACACAGTTTCCCTTTTTTGTCACTTATCCTGTATAAAAAATTTGTTTTACGCTAAGTGAATTGGTAAATGAGTTGCATATTTATTCTACCTAGGAAGAAAGAAATCAGCTTGAAATTTTAGAGGAAATAGCATAAAAAGTTAAAATGGGATGAAATAACAATACTGGAATTCTATTTCCTGCTCCCCCACTGACGTTTTGTTTAGAGATGGCTCTATAGCTTACTGATATGTGAAAAGCAACCTTTTGCAAATTTTCCTTAAACAAAATACCTAAAATATATTTAAAACTATACACCAGCTTTAGTTTACATTTATTCTGAAATGTCTATGAAGGCATGTAATAACTCATCATCATATCAGATACCGTAGTTGCAAAATCAATCATAATTCACACAGACAGCAATTAAAAACATGTTGCTGCAACTCCAGAAAGCACAAACCAGATCCTAAGAGTAAAGAACACAGGAATAGAAAAGCCACATGTAATCTGATAGTATTCAGTGCCAGCAGCCTTTTGGGGCATGGGGCATGGGGGAGGGGACAGGGGTAAATACTAATATAGAGATGCAACTTTTTGCATGATGCTATACTATAAATGAGAAGTTCTGCAACATCCTAATGTCTATTATCACACAGCTTGGCAATTTTTTTCAAAACTAATGCTGTTGCTCATACTCGTTTCATTTCTAGTTCTTGATTTCTTTACATCTTTCTTGAAAATAATTATTTGAATGAAAATTCTTTCCAAAAAGACATGAAGGTAAAGTTATATTTTAAAATTGCTTGTATTTTTAGGTTTTTCTAAGAGAACTAGAGGGCACTTCTGTTCTTCTGTTATGACAAAACTTTATGTAAACTTAATGTAAACATTTACATCTTTCTTATTTTGCTTATTAGTTCTACTTAATTCTTCTGAAAATTTTTACAATGTTCTATAATTTTAAATAAGTTTAGCAAGATTATGATTAATAAAGAACTGGTGGGAAAACAGTTCTTAGAGCAGATAAAGTTTTGAAATTATGAATACAGGAGCAAATACTGATGCAAATTTCTACAAGCTCATTGAAACTGTTGTTTAGAAGTTGATGTTTAGGTCTGTAAGGAATACATCAGGAACTGGTGCTCCTATACCACTGCAGTCATTTGCCAGTAATCACATGACTGCTCTCCTGGACCTCGTCAGTGCTACATTCTAAGTCTGAATTTCACAAGAAAAATAGTAGATAGAGAATCTGTTCAGGTTTTTATTGTGAAATTTTAAATGACCATTTAAATACATACAAAAGTTATGGCATTCCTCCATTTAATGTGAGATGATTTATAAAGTACAATACTTCAAGATCAAACTGGAGAATTTTCTTCAAATAACAGAAAAAAATAATATGGTCATTTCAAATGCTACACAGTATGAGTCACAGTTCCTTCAAATTATATGGCTTCAAATCTGTCACCCTTCAACAGCTCAAGACCAAAAATTACCCATTTTAGCTTCTGTAGCAAGGGGATCTTAAAATTGAAATCTGATTTTCAAAAGATTAAAAAGCTGCATCTTTTCTTTTGAACAGTACTTCTCGAAGCTTCAAAATCTTCAGAAATTTGGTAGTAATTGCAGTAGTATAAATTACTTAGTTATCAGGGTGATATTAACCTTACATGGTAAAATGTTTCAAGTAACAAATGACCATGATACCGGCTTTGACAGGGAAGAAAGAAATAGAAGTCTTACAAGTGTAACTAAAAAAACCAGAAGTTCCCAGAACCAAAATTCTGTTGGTTATGCCAACTGAAACAGAAAGCACTGGTATCAGAATTACCATTGCTTGAACCAAAATTCTTACTACTGAAGTATTTGCGTTCACTTAACTGTGCCATTAGGAACATATGAGAGACACAGTCTGGGCAGTGACACTACTTTAAAGAAAAAGCATCAAACATTTCCTTTGGTATGAAAGTCAAATAGATTTATCCCATTTTCAAAAGATTATTGTGTCCAATGCTAGATTGTGAAAAATACAACTCTGATCACCTCCTGAGGAGCTGGAGGCCTGAAGTAAACTGTTGATAAGCAAGCCCCATTTCTGACAAACTGGTCACCAAACAGTTGCCATTTGACAGAGAACCTTGTGCCACCTTGCCTGCAGTTATAATACATGGCAGCCAATGTCTGCCTGTCTCAAACTGAGATTTACACATGAAAACATTTATGCAAAGACATGCTTCCTTTCATCTTATGAACATGAAGGTCAAGGAATGCCCAGCCTCAAGAGATACACGTGTCTGGAATTATCACTCTGAAGGATGGGGGATATGGAGAGGCAATTCCCTGAAGATATTTGGGTGGGTATGCCAGTAAAATAAGTCATTCTTATTTACTGAGTAGATGTAAAAAGTACACACAGTATAGTCATATCTGAAAGCATTTGGGGTAAGGTTTGGCTTGACATGTCACCAAGGTTCTCAAGGACATGTGCTTTAAAAAAGAATAATATTAGCATGACGGCTAGCAAAGAGGTGAAATGCTTAATCAAAACTAGCACAGAATTTCTCAACAGAACAAAAAGTTCTCATTATTCAGGAACTCAAAACTCTACCAAATGATCTCTAGAGTTTGTGATGCTATTAAGTACAAAATTTGTATGCTTGTCTTGAGACTACAAGCAGGAAAAAAGCACTCAACCATTTCCAGACACTAAAGAGCTTGTTCTTTTACAAATTCCCTTACAAACAATTAATTAAGAAAAAAATCCTAAATGTAAAGTCAGCACCCTGAGAAAAACTTCAGTAGTCACAGATCAGCCAAATGGAAATACCTTTAACTAGCAATAAAGCCTTGTGAGAAAATAACAAAACAATTTCAAGCTGGTTTTGTCACTGTATAAAAATACATTACTTGGAGATTCAGCATGACAGACCAGTCCTTCCAATTGCCAGGGACATACAGACTAATATTACCTTGAAGACAAGCATGTAAGAGTTTCGTCTGTTTAAATCCACAACGCAGTGCCACTGTCCATTGTCTTTAGCTTTAAGGAATAGCTGCTATTGAGCTGCCCTGGAATTGGTTCTGTGGCACAGACAGAATTTATGTTCAGGCAACCAATTTCTCAGCATTAATTTTCATTGGGAAGGGTTACAGATCAGTATTTGTGGGGTAATAATGAGGCAATCTGTGTTGCATAACCACTGTCAAGTGCAACACTCAGTGCTAGTTATCTGACAGATATAGAAAATGTGCCAGTCTAAGTGTGAACAGGGTACAAACTAAATAAAGGAAGGTAAAATGTGAGGAAGACATTTCAGTGGGTCCTACTATTTTGAGAGCCCAGAACCTGTAGGTGTTATACAGTGATCGCCTCTTTTGGGACAGTATTTGAGGGAACAAATAATTTGACTGTTACAGAAACTGAACAGAAAACCATTATTAAATGAAAGGTCCTCAGCAATACCTGCATATCTGTAGACAAGATATAGTCTTGAGGAGTAATTATTGTCTCCTTAGAACAAATGATTCCATGATTGAGACACCACACCTGCAACACCTAGAGATGTATGAAAGGACATTCTGAAGACCACCTGGGCTTTAACAAGGACTGAAAAGTGGACCTTTCCAGAGTTGGTGGAGAAATATGACAATTTGTCTGGAAATTCAAACCTGAGAGGTTAAACAGAACCTCCAATTTTGCAAGCTGAAACTGCAATGAGGCTGAGGATGAAACATCTTTCAGATCATTCAAAAATTTACAGTCTTTTCCCTGAGTAATTTACTTGCCCTCTGGCAGTCACAACCACAGATAAGAGGATAGGACAAATACATAGGAAGTCCCAATTGCAGGGTTCGGATGTTTTTCTATCAATTATGCTCACAGCAAGATGACAGGAGAAAGAACTGCCCAAAACAGGCCAGCTGGCTCCAGTACAGCCTCATTAGCAGGCAATGGCACTCAGATGTGAGTAACTGGCATAGAATGCTCATTAAGCTTTGCAATATCTGTGCCTCCTCATTAAAGGGAATCCCTACAGGAATGCACTTAGTAGATCTTGAAAGAAGCCTTGCTCAGAGTTATAAATGTGGCTAGCACCTTCTCTCTAGGAAGACAGAACATGCAAATATCTAACTCTGAATAATGTCTGGGAAGGTGATACTCTCTTGAGAGAAAAATAAAGCTGTGTCATTTCTGGAAGTAGATAAATCTGCACCTCATCCTTTCATGCTAATACAACTGGGGCAGGCAAGGCCAGTCTGAGTAAATCTTACACATGGAGTTTGTCTTGAGAAGGCGTTTAATTAATCTAGTAACCCAAAAGGTAGAGAGACAATACTGTTAAAATGTCAGATTCATATGCTTTGAATGACTACATTTATTTTCCAAGATAAACTATGAAGAGCAAATGTTCACCTCTGTAGCCAGCCAGTCAGTAAAATAAAGTGCAATACTATAGTATGTTCTTGAACAAAAATGCTCATAGTCATACAGATAACAGGCTAGTGTACTACTTTACTGGGAGCAAGAGTCCTCTGTGACAGACTGTGTCAAATTCAAAGCCCTTCATATTGTCAGAAACAGAGCACAAGGTTCAGGAGACATCCTCATACCTGCAAGACCAAATACTATCAGGTTCATGCCTCAGAGGCATAATCTGCTGATGCTTGTAAGGCCCATGAAACTGCAAGTCATGTTCTGTCATGTATGCAAAGAAGAAAAATGCAAAGACGAAAAATATCTTCTCTTTTACACTCACCATGAAGGTTAGTAGCAAGGTATGTTTCAGCCTGCCTGACAGATCACTGCAGCGGTGACCCTCTGGGCTTGAGATGAAGGACAAGAGTATCCTTTCATGGTAGACTTTCTACAGGAACTTTCCCTGGTGATATACAATTAGACTTAGAG